CGCCGAAATGCAGCTTTGGGCTTTCGAGGATTTCAATCAGCATAATAGGATTTTGCTTCATACATACATCCGCAAGCGGCGATTGATTTTCGAGTCCCGGATTAGTAATTAATTACCACGCGCGCAAAAACTCGGAAGCAACTTGCAAAACAAACTTCTGATTTCAGTGTTCAGCGTTCCCACATGAATTAATCATCGCGGATTGATGTTGACTGCGCCGCACAAGTGCACACAACATCGCTTCATTATTATTAACATTTTGCGGTCGTTTCGAAAAGTCGAAAATTCAACGCCTTCGGGCTATACTCAACTTTCACGATGCGAGAGGAGAGTCTTTCGACACAATATCTCTTTTTCTCTGTGTGTGTGTTTATAATTATTTGATCATTTCAACATTTGTTGCCTTCTTCTCCGCGCAGAGATTAAACGACCATCGCTGGCGATATTAAAATGAAATTGCCATTTAATATAAAAAGCCGTTTATTCATCGTGAATGATATATAATCTCCTGATGTTGGTTTATAGTCAGACATGATACATGAGGTAATCCTGATTATCATAATTTGTATACACGTCGTAAATTATTATTTATGTTTTCCGCTTATTAAACGAAATTAAAGTCTCAGCTAATTTCATTAGTAGCCGTAAATATAAAATACGTTTTGAAACAATTTAATTAAAATTTAATCTATGTGAAACATCGTCGTTCAGGTTTATATTGAAATCGTCCAAATACGGAAGTATTCGTCCGATTGTGTTGGTATGAGAGAATGTTGGTAATAAGCCGATAATTACGTTTACTGTTAGTTCAACTTTATTGCTGTGCCAGCCTGCCAGCGTCGAGTGGCTGGTGAGTGCTCGGGAATGACGAGGTCAAAATCAAAATTGTTTCAACGCAAGTTCAAATATTTTTTTTCTTGTTCCAGCGTGCTCTACGATGATGATAACAAGTTAATTTAGCGTTTTGTAACGCTCTGTATAATGTAGACGGAGTGTAATAGCATGGCATTATTTTACGAGCATGCTAATTGCATCATTATTCTCTTCACAAAGCAGCGTTTTCAATTTTTCTATTAACATATTTTATTTCTAGTTGTATTAATCATCATGAGAGATGGCTTATTAACTCTCTGGCATTACAATTAAGCAAACAAGCTGGACAAATAAAACGATTACGTGAAGGCTAACTTGAAATTGTTTACCACATCAAATGTTTATTATGTCGATTACAATATCCGCTTGTTAAATCTCATTAGTTTTGCCAAGAGGAGAAGATATTAACCCGGTTTGTGTGTTTTTCTGTGCGCTCGGTGATATTTGATTTGGAGCAACGTACACACGCAGTAAAGAGCAAGCACTACGGAGACATTATAAATGCTTCCATTATTGAAAAGGTCATTGCAAAGTGCACCAACTTCACAGTCGCGAGCACACCAACTATAAATAATAATCTAATCTAGTTTATAGGACGTCGTGGTTCTTTTTGTATTTCGTCAAATGATGAACCAGCTGAACTCTTTTGTGATTGCTGGGAACACACAGTTATTGATCTTTTTAATTATGAAAGCGATAAGAACATGTTTACGATATGGCCGTTTCCTGTTTTGGCTCTGCGCTCGCATAATATAATGTGAACAGATTGAGAGTTTATCTATCAGAGCCGAAATGAACCGAAATTGACGTTCGTTATTCACGCTCGAGTGGCGCTTTATTATTTATTATTAGCTGTTATTGCTGTCTATGCAGTCGAGCATAAATCATACTGATAATCATTTATTATCCTGTTCAAACGAAATAAATGCACAAATATATGGAATTATGTCGTTTTGATAATGATTATGTGTGTTGCTGGCATCAATTATGCGCTATTGACATTCTTTTCGGCGCAAGTCATGCGAAATTGCTTTGGCATTGTGCGCACTTAGTCACTTAGTCACTCCGGGTTCAGTTTCAGCTTGAGCCATTTGTCGAAAATAAACAGTTCAATGAAACATTCATTAGCCTCAACTGGGCTTTTATTTGCACTGAGGATGATTATTTGCTCGTTTGCTTTTTATTTGCTCACTTTAAGTTGCTTGCTTTGCGCTTTTTGTTCGTGTGTTCACTTCAATTGCTGGCGCGAGAACGAATGGAATATTAAATTAATTCTGTTTGGAGTTGATTGCTTGTTACGGACGAGGAATGTGCGAGCGAGATGCACGGCTCCGACATGAATATTTACAGCTATGACATAACATTGTTTAAATATGCGTTATTACGACATCGGTGAATGAGAGATGAAATATGACATGGTTTTGTTTGAGGCGCATTTAATATTTAAGGAAAAATATTAAATTTATTATATCAAGGGTGGAAGATAATAAAAAAAAATTATTTCGGGGTTTATGTATTTTTCACAACAACATTATGCATTTCTAAATATTTAAAGCGTGTTGTGTTTCTATTTCTAGAGTTCTACTCTCTTGACGAAGAGAAAAGACCTGACAAAAACTGGTTTTTCAGTTACGACTTACTGTAAACATTCGGCCGATAACGATGTTTACAATTTACATACGCGTCGATGATAAACTCCCGATGGAAAAATGAACGTTTGCTTCACAAACACTGAAAACGAAACAGGTCAAAAGAAACAAATTATACACACATATCACTGTGTACACACACGAAACGTCTCCTCTAAGCAGCTATTATTGAAACATGTGCATTTAACTGTTAAGTCGAAACGAAAAACACAATTTCAAAAATACATATTTGAATAGTTGCTTTATCTCTTGTCTTCCGAGACCGAGAGGCAAAACAGTCGAAAAGAACAGAGAGAAGAAAACGAAAAAAAAATGCAACGACGAAAAGTCATAAAACTTTTTAATGATTCTCTTTCTCGGGACGGGCCTTGGATATCGTTCTAGCCTCGTTCCTTGTTCCTCCACGTCCGTGTGTTACAAAATAGAATTGAAACTTGACTTTTATTATGTGCATTATGTGTGCAGCAGTGCTCACAATGAAAATGAATCGAATCGCTTGAAAAGTTCGCGAGCGCGCAGTCAATATCGTAAAATCGTAAAACGAAATTTATTATTATAATAATACTAAAAAGAATGCACACAGAGAGAGAGAGATAAAAAGCCGATGTAATGTAACAATGTGTGTTGGAATATTTAATTTATATTCCATAATGGATTATATTGTGTTGGGCGGACCATGCGAGTGAATTCAATTTTGTGTTAACAATATTGAAAAGAGACTACTCGTAGCCGATCGATTCACATTCTCAGCGCTCTGGCAGATGCTAAGGGTAAATCCAGTGCACCTGCTTCGATTGTTTTATAATTAGCAAATTGATGCATGCATGCGTATTTATTTCCACTTAGGACGGTTTATTCACTTAAGTTTTATGTTCGTTGAATACAACATTTATTCATTAATAGTGCAAGTTTATTGTCGTGTACGTAAAGTAGGCTATTAACTACTATTTTTTACGTGCATCGCGCATTAATAACGTGTTTGGGAAATTTAATTGCATGCATTATAATGAAATTGTTTCAGGGTAATAATTCAGCATGATAATTACACTCGATGACGAAATTTTCATATAAGGAGTAAAGGAATAAACTAATATTTGATTTTGTGAATGTATGCAACCCAATATACACACTATTTGTATTTAAATGCTAAACGAATTATAGGGTTTGTAATATTTTAGATCTATTTACGTACGTAATCCATACTGAGTGAAAATGTCGTCCTCGATACGTGTTGGAGTATTGTATTAAATTCGTGTACGTGTGAGCAGTGTGGGCCTTTGTTTTGAGTGGGGCATTAATCGAATCGGGGCGCTGGCGTAGTCGCATTTGGTCTAGTCTCTTGGCCGAAAGCCTGATGGAGAACTGCAGCTAATTTGCTTGTGTGTGCTTTGGGCTCTTCTGCTCAAATACGAGCGCGAATCGTGTTTGTGGAATGCTTTTATGCATTTAGCAGTAGCGCAGGGGCCCGCATTGAGATGCCCTACGCGTGCTCCGCCCGCCGTATCTAGTAACTAACCACCTCGCTTGTCTGTGTTTACTTTTAATCTCTCATTATTCAAATTCGAATTGAAGCTTCGATGCGTTTTGCTCCGCTCTCTGGGCCCTGTTTGTTTTCGCGTCTTGTTAAAATTCACGAATACCCACACCCTGCTATGGCACAATTGTTTTCATGTGTCCGGGGGCGCCAAGCTTTAATTTTATATTTTGCAATTTCGGGGTCGCGCCGAAAATTGCTAATCACGAAAATAATTTGTAAAACCTCATCAACTCTTGTTTGGTTTGGCGCGGATAAAAATAACACAACAAGCGGAATATTAATTAAAATTATAATTGTAATTTCGGGCCGGCGCGGCGGGCGTGAGCGGCGAAATGAAAAAGTGCGCCCTCGTGATTTTTTCCCCGGGTCAGCATATACAGCCGCATGAAAAGGGAAGGTCGAAGAATAGAGGAATGAAAAATGAAAAATTAACGAGAATGGCGCAAAGACAATAATAGTGTTTGGAATTAAAATTCGAGTAAACATCACGAAATGTTGTGAAATACGCCACCGACAGATGATCTCATCACGCATGACTAAATCGAAATTAATTCTACTAAAATAATAATATTTTAATAAATGTGGATACATTGTAATTAGACAGTTCTGGGTAATGTAACGTTTCGTAAGCTACACAGCACTTGCGCAATACTTTTAAATGTGAATCTGGAACGTATACAGAGCAATTACGCGCAGTAAATTTAAAAAAAAAACGCATGTATGCACAAATGATTCGTTGATTGCATGCAATACACAGCACTGACAGAAGGACGAGAAAAGCCGTAATTAACGACTGAAGAAAACTGACAAAAGACGTCTGATTGTATCTGATGTCTCTTTGAGTGTGCGTAAGCAAAACACGAACGCGTGTGTTTTGTCTTTGTTTCGTGTATGTCGAGTCAATAATTTTAATGATGTGATTTTTTTCTCTCTTGTTGCAGCGGAGCGAAAACGTTGACCTCTCGCTGAGCATTCCGAATTCGAATTTCCCGCACAACGGATACAACATGGGCGATCAGGTAAATGATCATCATCTAGTAATAATTAAATAAACGGAAGGAGTGCAAGTGCACACATCGCGCGTCCTTGGACCTTTGCCCCATGAAATGAGAAACCATAAATTTTAATTAAACCAAATCCCTTCCAACAATGACTCTAATTGAGCCGCGCGGGCAGCAAATATCATGATTTACGATCCGCGCGCACGTGATTTAATATTTATTTTTATTATTCTATAATACCCTCTCGACGCGGACTTTTACGAATGCACAAAAGAAGAGACAAACGGGCATTATATCGTCTCGTGTGTCTGAACATGATTGGATGAAATGCGCGTTCTACAACGAACAAGACTCCATAATGAACGTTACTTATTATTGTTGTGTTCGTTCGTTTGCTTATCGCACGAAATGATCGACATCATTCAAAGCTTTATTTCTCGATCGGGGAACGTGCGACGTGCGACCATTATTCAATTAATTAAATCGAAACTACATGCATTTAAAATAGCCCCGACATTAAAATAATTACCAGCCTGAGATGTAGAAAAAACGAAATTAAATGATTTTGTTTTACGTTTCACACACAATTGAAGGAAAAGCAATCTTTTAAGATCTAAACGTGTACTATAGAAGTTGATTGGTTGTTGGTACAGCCAACTTAATTACACTTTTCGTTTTTTAATTGCTCGAGATTCCTCGTCACCGTTTAATTCCAACTAATTGACAACGTGTTTCACTTTACTTAACTTGTTTGCCTTATATTTTGATTGGTCATCATGTCATTAATTTTTTTTTCTCCTCTCTTCTAATCGGAAATGTATTACGGACATAAATAACTGTGTTGAAACATTTTAAATTCATTCGCGTTCATTTTGATAAGAATTATCATAATGGAAAGCCATTAAAAGTTGATATTTTTTCCTCTCTGCGTTGGTAAAAGTCGCTCGATTTGTAACGAGTTTCGACATAACTGGAACACTCTAAAGTTTAAAAGGAAATGTCCAAATAAATTCATAAATGGAATTAATGTTTACTGGTTACCGTTTCTATTTTTATTCCGCTTTCGACGGATTCGTAAGGTGTAATTAAGTTTTTCTAGTGTAATAGTTAAAAGTACACTCATTGCTGTTGTATAAATGTTAATACACACGGGCCGTGTGTAATTTATCCTTGATTAGACTGAAAATTATTACCTTCGGGGCGGAGGAGAATTATAAACTAATTGTTATTATGCGTTGACCTTGCCAGCTGTGAGTGAAGCACACACGGGTGTTGTACACATAGACAGAGAAACTCTCTTGGAGCTTGTGAAGCAGCAGACTGTCTGGCTCGACCTTCAGCATGGCCGTTGACCTCTTTGCATCCTGCCATCCGCGCGCCATCCATCCAACATCCAACTCCATATATCAATCATCTCTCTTGCAGGCTGCTCGAAAGGCAGCCGAACAAAAAGCCGTGAGTGGAAAGACACATGTCATTTTTTAATTGGAAACGCGTCGAGTGAGGAGTAGCTGGAAGAGTTGGCAGGACCACACGAAATTAAATGTCCTTTAATCATGTTGTTTTTTTTTTCTTTTCGTGTGTATGTGTCGATCAAAGATCTCCGCAGCCCAAATCTGCTCGCCGGTGTTTTTCCGGCGCGTGTTTACTTGTTGTTTTCGCGATTTTATTGACGGAACTGCCGCCAGGGGATGAACGCGTGCGTCCTGTTCGCTGTGGCGGCTGCCGCCGAATGACAGCCAGCGACATCGTTTAGCGGCGGCGGTGACCCGCGCAACTAACTTTAATAGAGTTGGCTCCGCTCGCGCCCGCCTCCCTTCCCCCCTCCTCTCTCTCTCTTTCCACTCTGCGTCTCCGTTGTGGATGTAATTTATTTGGCAGGCAAGAAATATGGCCCATAACTTTGTATGAAAATAAAGAAGAATTATATGAACATTATAAATCAGCTTTTACTCATTTTTATTATTCCGGGGCGGCGCGCACCCTCCGCGCGATTCCAATTTATTATTTCCACTCGTTGGACTAATTAAAAAAGTTTGTGTTTTAAATCCTGCGTGTTTTTTTTTATTCTGCTCCATAGACGTTTCACACGCCTAGTTTTGGCGATGAAGAGTTTGATATACCAGCGATCAACCCTCAGCAGCAACAGCAACAACACGGCATGTATCAACCGCCGATGAGTATGTCACTCAGCCATCAACAGCAGGATGCGTTGGGTATGCATGATCCCACCGGGGGATACCAGCAGCCGTTGTACCTTTCGGGGCCTGATCATGGCATGGTCAATGCGTCGTACCACAGTCCCCAGGCTAACTACAGTCACAGCCTCAGTCCCAGCCAGCAACAACAGCAGCAGCAGCAGCAGCAGCAACAACAGCAACAGCAACAACATCAACAACAGCATAATACTCAGCTGTTGATGATCCAACAACAGCAGCAGGCGGCGGCAGCGCACCAGCAGCAACAACACCATCAACAGATGATGATGGGACATCCACAACAACCACCCGGTGGACATGCGTATGGTACATCACCGCAGCATCCGCAGGGACGCGGCACCACCAGCCCGCCGGCCGGCCCCGGTCAGGAGCCCACCACCAGCGAGGATAGCGATGACAGCACGCCGCATCCGGCAATGGTGAGTGCGAAAGCCAATTACTAAAACGCGAATTTACATTTGAATTTTAATCGGCAATTAAATTAAAATGAATATTTGATGATGCCGCGTTGGCTGGAATCGATTTAACTGCATTTTCACATTGCGCTTATTGCTATCTGCAATTCAGCGCGCGGCTTTACGGCTTCGGAGTCATTTAGAGCACAATTTTCGGTATAAAATCGGCGCATTTTGCGCGCACATGTTTCGGCTCACCCGAACGCGATATGACATTTCCGATGCGAATTTATCCACCAAATCGAAACATTTGATTACACCGTTTTGTTTATTATCAATTTGCGATTTACATTCCGATGTACCATCAACGAAATTGTTTAAATTCGCAATTAATTTCCCCACAGTTGACCGGCGGCATGAAGCGACCGTCGCCCGAACCCGCCGAATCGATAGCCAAAGTCCAGAAGAAACCCAAAGTGCAAAAGAAGAAGAAGAAGCGGGATCCGAACGAGCCACAAAAGTAAGTTGCACACAACACTACTAAATCATCGTGTTATTCGACTGTTTTCACAGAAAAATGTATGTCGATTAAATTTGCGACAATGTTTTTCATACAATAACTATAACTTTTAGTGCAGGCCGCGCGGGCCGTAATTTTTATCGAGTCGCGCTACAAATTTAATCTAAAAACGCCATAAAAAGCGCCAGCGTCGTAAAAGTTCATCTCTTTTGCCTCGCGTCCTGTACGACACGTAGTATCGACTCTCTGCGATGTGGGATTGCTACAAGCATGCGCGTGTTATATTTTAATTTGCGTTCTTCGTAAATTATTTACTGATAGTGTTATGATCTGCTTAACAAATTAGATTTTTGAGTTCATGTGTAGGGTGTGTGGGAGCCGCGCGGTATTTTTATCTCTATTTATGGGGGGTCGTAAAATGCGCGGGCACGCTCGCGAAATAAAATGTTGATTTAAAATACCTTCAAAGTTTCTTTACTTGCTTTCGGGGCTACGTTTACTATCGGCGACCCGCCTCGCGAGATGAATACGCAAAATGAACACAAATGTAAACGAGAATCCGCGAAATAGGGCAAAATAAATAAAAACCACCCCAAAATGTGACCTGTGAGTTGAACGCAGAGAGGGAAGAAATTTGAGATGAAAAAGTTGGAAGCACCTAATTCATTTTGTACATTTATCTTTTTTATTTTTATTTTTATTACGTTTTGCTGTATTATACAATTTCGAGATGAAATTGAATTTATTCTTTCTCGTTTTGTAATTCGATGTAAATATGAATTTTAATGGAGGATAAGTTTTATAACTTTTATTGATTGCTCGCGATAGGTTTGCGTGGAAAATATGTATATTCACAGATGAAAGAAGTTTGTGCTTGTGCCATCGCTCGCGTACTTTCATACTTCTCTCTTAACTCACTTTGAAATGCTGATGTTGATGCTGATGCAATGCAACATCCTCCCGCCGTGCTCCTAATGGAAGCTGTATTATTGATTAGGCGCTTTAATGCACTTCAGAAACCTTTTATACAAATATCCTTTTTATTCTTCGCGTCGTCTTCTCTTCCGTTTCGCAATTCGCGTGCGTTTTTTCTTTTCTTCTCTTCTTCTCCTTGTTTTTAAACTAAACTAGAAATCTTTTGTTTACTCTGCAAAGGGAAGCAAAGGAATGCGCATAAATCCTTATTAAATTTAAAAGATCCTGGATACTCAGATATTTTTGGCGTATGCGCATTCAATTTCATACGCAACTTTTCTATTTCTTGTTATGTTGTGTTGTGTTTTTTTTTCTTCTTATTTTTTCTTCGTTCTTTATTTTCATCCTTTCATCCACGTAAATGGCCGATCTTTTTTATACTTTTAGATTCGCTTTATATTTATTTCGCGATACCAATTCCACTTTGCCACTTTTATCTCATACTTCGTTCTTTACTTTGGCTTATTACATTTTATGCGCGCGTCAAGACGAAGAGCGCGCGCGCCCCTCTCGCACAGTGCGTTGTGTTGGCAAATGAAGATGAACAGACGCGGGCGGGTGGGGGCGACAGAGAAAGACATAGAAAATGGTTTTATGCAGCCGGCGTACATGTTGTAATATAAAGTGATATAAAGTAATGTAATATGAAATCTCATTTCGTATGCCACGATTCATTTGTGCGCCCGGCGCGCGTTTAATAGTTAATTTCGAACGGATCGATTTGTACAAGCCCCAGCAAGCTCTCGGATGATGGATTGAGGGTTGTTTTAGATCTATAAAGAATTAAACGTTTCGAATATGTTGTTGCTTGTTGTTGTATTGCGCGGGCTGAGCGTTTCGGGTGTTCGGATTCGATTTGGTCGCTTGTGAAGTAAATTAATTACTCCCCCAAGTTCACTTTTCGAACGGCAATCGGTCTTAATATGCATTCATTCGTTGAATAGCTCGTTACCAAGGCTCCGCGTTCTCTAGCCCCTTATTTACTCGGCGAGCGCGCAGAGACGCCAGATAACTCATTGAAACATGGAACGTATAGAAAATATAGATTGCTTCCATTGCTCCGCGCATAAGCTGAAAACGGAAAGTTCCGTCCTTAGACGAGTCCTATTGAGGGGCGGCGACTCTCTTATTCGCATATATTGCACATTACATAATGGTATTGATTTTTCGCGAAAACTATTAAATGGTATTAAAATGTGCTCATATTCTTAGTTCTTAGCGCGGCGCTGTGTGTTTCTCCCCCAAATGAGGGGCGGCGGGCGCAAAGCAGGCGTTTATATAGCCCATAAACTTAACGTTTCGCCATTCCGCCATGCGGCTCTCGCGAGCAGTAAGTTGTAAGCAGCAGATTTATTGTTGCAATTTTCTTTTACATACTAGGTACGATTGTACCGAGCGCCGTGTATTTATAACAGCCTCGATGGTTGTATGCGTGTGTGTACGTGTGCCATTTCCTTACGCTTTGAAATATTGATGGCCTTAATTTTCCTGCATGCTTTATCTTTCGGTATAAAATGGAAATCCGACGTTTTGCATTGTATATCTTGCGTAACTCGCTGTGCAATGAGCGAAAATATCAGCCGATGCTTGAGCGAATGTTTCTCTCTTACATGTTTATTGTGGTTTCTTATGTAGTTCTGGCTAGGTTTTTCAAAACACTTAGATCGTTAACAATGTCATTATTTACATAACTTGCTGTTTTATTGCGTACAATTAACGTGCTCGATTTTATAGCGCACTCGTAAATTTTTATTGTTGAACTTGGGTTCACACGCTCACCGAAAACGGTACTTCATCGAGGCGAGGCGTGTTGTATAATTTTCATTTCAAAGCAAATTTATTTCTTGCATTGTGTTCCACGGCGCGCATTATTCGTGTGAAAATGTGTTGTAGATTTTATCCGGCCGTTTGTTGGGCAAAACGCGATCAAATGAACTTGATGGTTGTGTTTCTCTCCGCAGTTTCGAATAACTTACGTCTTCCGTTACGAGAGGTCGCGTCGGTCGGGAAGTTTTCGTGCTTACCGCACTAGTTTGAAACATTTCGCGGATCTCTGCTGCGCGCTCGAGGTTTTCACTTTGTAGGTTAGAAGCAGTTGTGATTGTTTATTTTTTGTTCTAAGTTATTTTTTTGAAACATGTGCGAAGAACTCCTTGGCGTGCCAAGCCAGTATGTTGAATCAATAAGTGTGTTTCGTCAGAAGCCATTACTAATCAATTTCTTTTTGTTTGCAGGCCGGTGTCCGCGTACGCGCTGTTTTTCCGTGATACTCAAGCCGCCATAAAAGGACAGAATCCGAATGCTAGTTTCGGCGAGGTGTCCAAGATTGTCGCATCCATGTGGGATGCGCTCGACTCCGAGCATAAGAACGTATACAAGAAGAAGACAGAGGCGGCAAAGAAGGAGTATCTGAAGGCACTGGCAGCATACAGAGCCAGTCTGGTGTCAAAGGGAGCTGGTGAGGGTGCCGAAGGTGGCATGTACACCGGCTACACCAACTACGGCAACCAGCCGGCGCCACAGTATGGAGGATATTCACCACAGAACGCGCTACCGTCACCACCGACGCCTCCAAGCCAACCGTCGCCAATGTCAAAGAAGCCGCCACCGATGATGCCCAGCCAGCCGCACGCGCCTATGTTGCAGCCGATGCCCGGACACATGAGCATGCCGCCGCACATGCAACCGCCGCCACATAGTAATAATTACATGCAACAGGTGAGTGCAGTTTTGTTGCCGGAACGAGATGCAATTACCAGATCACCGATGATGGGATCTGATGATGCTGCCGCGTTGCTGGCAATTGCATCTCGTGCGACCCAGCTGCGTTTCGGGGTTTGAGCGCGTTGCATATTGACCTAAACTAGCAGTATTTCGTGTTAGGCTCCCCAGCAACAAGCAGTCCAGCACCAGCTTATGCAGCCACGACGTGTCAGTCCCCAGCCAATGGCTTCAAGCAGCCCGCCGGTCTCGGCACCTGCACCTACAGTGCCCACATCCGTGCCACAGCAGTCGCAGATGCGACCTGCTAACTCGTGCATTCGCCATGGCTGCCCCAACCTTGCTATTTCCAATCAGGAATGGGAGGATGAATACTGCAGTAATGAATGCGTAGTTAGCCATTGCAGGTAAAGTCCCACCGCCGCCAAACATCACCGCACACGTGGTCCTAACTCGTTTGTTTTTGCTTTCAGGGACGTATTCTCTACGTGGGTGGCATCCAATCCAAACCAATCGCAAAACTTTTCGACGGTGAAATAGCTATCGATCGGATCGCGGACCGTCGCGGCGCCATGGCTGGAGGGAGGGAGGACTTTTGTATATTCTCTATCACAGAAGAATGAACTGTAGCAATATTGATAATAGTTTTAATACACACCTAGGGTAACACACAATGGACGCGATAATCGGATGCGATAGACGGCACACAATGTTTATATGTCGGCGAAGGAGGCGGTATGAGGGCGAGAGAGAGTGTCTGACGATGATATTGTACATACTTTAGCCGGGGTGGGCGAGGCGGAAGCGCGCCGCATTGTGTGCGCGGCGCGCTTTCACAACTAGACATACAAACTGACACAACTGTACCCAACCTTTGATTAGGCGTATAACGATGTATTATATACAGACATACTTTGTTAAGCATGCTATTGTACAAGCGTGCGTCCTCGAAATGTAAGTGACGATGAAGGTAATCTAAGTTAGGTAGAATATATCCAAAATTAAACTGAGCATAGGATTACGGATACCTAGAGTTATACACAACCAGCGCGTTGTGGACGATGCATCAAAATATTTGTAAATGATAAAATGTTGTTAATCAGAATGGGCAAGTCCTGTAAAATATAAGTAACTAGTACGGCATCGCGGACAACAGGGAGGGGACTCGCTTGAGGAATGATTTGCAGTACAATTTTTGATCTTATTTAAAAGTCTCGTTTCTAGTTTCGTTCGTGACGGTCGCGTCGTGTTCTCTGTGATGTCGTAGGTCGGATAGTGATTAGGGTGTACAATTATTTTTATATCATTGACCAATGACGTTACGCTTGTTTGTCGATGTATATAAAGACCTCTTTGCAGTTGTTAATTTTATTGTTATCGATGTCGAGCATTCGGCTCGCGTGCTAGCGCGCGCGCGCGCGCATCCCCTAGTATTAAAAATACCCAGCGGTGAAGGATGTATATTTGTGAATATGTTGATTTGTTGGTAGCCAAATTGTTTAAAACAGTGCATATTCGTTGTTTGCATGCAATCGGCGAGCAGCGGGCCGGACGCTAGACGCATTGATTTTCTTTCTACTGTCTTGAACAGTTTGGTAAATGTGAGATAATAAATACAATGTACATTTCATGAAGAAATACAAAATCTTGAGCGCTGGTCTACTGAGCGCCAGCGCATACACTAGATAAGATATATTAATTATCATAACTATAAAATATCATAATTTGTTTTTATTTGTAATTTTATTTCGTGTCCAATTGGATTTGCGGCCGCAGGCCGCTCGATTCCGTCGTCGATCGTTGATTATCTCGATGGAATGACGATCATTATCTTCGATGAGCTTTAAAATTGTTGAGTACAATTTTCGTTTCATTACATTGTAAATATCATATATTTTATCTTGACATGATGCACACTACCTATACTATGTAACCAATTAATATTTAAAAATAAATAAAAATAGATTCTAATTGAAAGAAACCAAATTGTTTCATTATTTCTAACCTTTGCAGCTGCCGTACCAAAGACATGATTGTCTTTATTTTTGTTGGTGGTAAATTATTTTGTGTCGAAAAACTTGCTTCTCTGTGGAAGCTTGGGAAAACGTATTTTCAGCACACATTATGCGATTAATAAAAATTGTACAACACTACTTTAATAGTAATGTAAAATCGCGCAATTTTTCTTTAATTATAATAATCTTAATTCTGGGACTCCAACCTGTGTCATTCAGAGATGGCACTAGCATGAACTAAACATCATAAAATAGAATTGTATTCTTTATTTCTATATTTATCGGCAAACGTTGCATTCGGCCCGAGTTGTGTTTGTTTTGAACACAATTCACTTTCTTATCGCTTGCGTCGCGTTGAATGCAACGCATGAGATTCCCAAGTGTCGGCGCTGAAATCCCCTCACGCCGCATGCAGCATATTCTAGTTTAGCTTAGATCGCGGGTATCGTGTCTATTGCAATTCGTGCGCAAGGTCGCGTGGCATCGACGCGCCGGCTTTGCGCATATCTTGCTTTCTTATCATAAACTGTCGCGTCGTTGCTTGCTCGGTTACGGCATGAACTATCCGCGGGTTGTGACCAGTTTTGTGCCGGTCTCTGGATGGTTCTGACGTATTTCTCGCGTCGCGTATCGTTTGTTCGGACCTCTGTTTTCTAAATTTACATTATATTCAATTAGCAAACCACCAATATTTGCGTGTTTTTGTCCATAATTACCGGTTAAGTGTATATTGCAACTCACAAGGTGTCGAGTTGCTAAGTGAATCGGATATTTGCAGTGCCTTGCAATCCGGTGAGCCTCTGCATTGGTAAGTTTACAATTAAATTATAGTTTCCTCTCAATATATGCGTCGAATATTAGTTTGCATGTATGTAGTTTTGTTATCGCGTTTTGTCGCGTATTGCAAAAACATAAGATAGTCGCGTGCCTTGCTGATACAGCACAGAATGAACTGTTCGTCTTTCCTTTGCTAACAAAAGCGCAAGAGTTATATTCTTTTCGAATTTCAATTTTCAAAAATATAAATATAATCAATAATCATATTTCTTTGTTAATATTGTTGAATTTTATATAATGAGGATTTGAAAACCATGTCACATGTAAACGTTTAAGTCATTTGATTTCACTTAACTTTTAGCATTCTAGATTTAAAGCGAATGATTTATGTGAAACTATTTAATAAAATTAATAAATGAGATAAATTAAGATAACAAAACATATTGCAGAAGTAGTGAAAGAAGATAATTGCGACAAGTTTTGAGTTATTTATTTAATGTTTACGTTTTTATTGATTTTATGGAATTTGGTCAATGCATAGATTCACTTTGAATTTGCTGTATGCATTGACTAGTCAATGTATACATAATTTCAAGACTTGTTTTCGTTTTTGTAGTGCGTGTTATCAGTGTTTGGGTTTGTGTGTGTTGCGGCGCGCAATGTTACCTGAGGCAATGTTACTCTGCACGCTGCTGACATCAACGGCGACATTTGGCAAATAGTTTTATTCTAGCCGTCGGACGGTGTGCTCGGCTTTACTTGTGTTCTTAATTAATTCATTAAATTTTTAGAGTGAATTGACCATTGAATCAATTCGAAGATGAATTTGTTTATTATAAAATGTGAATTTAATGTTTTGTGTACTGTTTCCGTCGGTGCATGTGCTAACTCCAATATGGAATATACATAAATATATTCAACTAGATATTCAGTTACACATAGTACGGTGCAAGTGGCTTGCCAAGTAAGTTTTCATATTGTCGAGAACATGTGGGTTGTCATGTATTGTCTTTCTGCGACGAATTAAACATTATGAACTGTCATTTACTGCGATATTGTAAAATAAAAGCTAAGTAAAGTAAACACTTACTGTACGCTATACCCACAATATCGTTATGAAAACGATATCGTTATGAAAACGATATATTATTAAAACCATTGCAAGTCGGCCGACTGCACCATGCGAGTAGTCGGCCGACTAAACAATTAGTCAAACCTGATGTGGATAGCTATTTCGACCATTAGAGGTCTCGTTAGCACACCTACTGGTTTGACAAACACTGCACCGACTTGCCATGGCTTTATATCCAACTGTTCTTATAAAAAGACACGAGAAGGATTGACCGTACAAGGGCAGCGGTAGAGGTGACTCGTGTTCAGGGCACCGTATGAGGGTAGCGATAGAAGTGAGTCGTGTAGGGCACCGTATGAGGGTAGCTAGAAGTGACTCGTGTTCAGGGTACCGTACAAGGGCAGCGATAGAAGTGACTCGTGTTCAGGACACCGTATGAGGGTAGCGGTAGAAGTGACTCGTGTTTAGGGCACCGCACAAGAGCTGAGGTAGAAGTGACTCGTGTTCAGGGCACCGTACATTGATGATTGTATAACTGACTTCTATTTGCCCATTTTTCTTATGAATTAAAATTTCATCTTTTATATATGCATTTTATTTAACTCATCTTATAGAAAATTTTCCGCAGATTAAGACTTTGAAATCTGTTCCCTTCTATCTCTTTTAGTTTACGAGATATTCGCAATTAAAATAAATCGTCAAAAATTGAAAAATTGCAATTTTAAGGACTTTCAGTCGCGTTACCCCATTAAATTAAATTATTTTAAATTTCCGTCTGATAGAGAATTTTCCAATTTTTCATAATCTACAATTTTCTGCCTGCTATCTCTTTTAGTTTGGAAGATATTCGCTGTCGAAAATCGTCGATAAGAACAATCAATTTATAATAATATTATAATAATTATAACAATATTATAATTAGATTAATTTATTTTGAATAAGTATATCCTATTGACTTCTATATTTGAAGTTTGAGTTATGTGTAAAAATTGCTATTTGTTTAGATAGGGTGGTGCATGCGTACTCTCGTGTACGTGTGATACACGGACACGGCCACTTAGGTGCGCGACCACTCACTGATCATAGGCAATCGCTCACTGCCTCATATGTATGCTACACTTTTTGAAACGCTATTTTCTGGAGGTACAATAAAGTATCCTCAATTTGTCTGAATTTGTGTATCTAATGTTTTGTTTCTTCTTTATTTCAGTACAAGTATCTACTCACATTTGATTTGCGGTGTTCGATACACCGGTAAGTAACATTTTTACTGTTTTCCTGCAATTAGAAAATTGATATCTTAAACTTATTTTTGCGGAAATTTCTTCCAAGTACTTCGCAGAAAATTTAAAAATGGAAATTCAAACTTTTTATTGCGGATACCTTCATAAAATGTGGTTCTGAACATTTTATGATAGTAAAATTTTACTCAAGGACCCAAAGTGTAGCCCTGATTTGACCAAATGTGAATATACTTTTCAGCAGAAAACGTATAGATGAAAATTTATAGGTTTTTCTACTGAAGTGCAATAAAATTTTGTGGAAAATTGCAATAAATAGTTGGAATTGTTCATTGCTTAAACATAAACTGAAATAGAGTAGAAACAATACATGTTTGAATTAAATTTCACTTAAATATTAGATGTAACATAGGCCAATATTTGAGCATAAGAAGTCATTATTTCATGATTTTAAATTAAAAGTTTTATTAATTTTAATAATATAAATTCCGGTACTACTATCTGTATCAGTCATACTAGTAAGAAAACAAAAATGATAAAATAGAATTGCATTGTTTATTTCTTGATTTATCTTCACTTTCTTATTGCATTCGCCGCGTGGAATGCAAAGCATGAGATTCTCATAGTCTAGTTTAATTTAAATCGCAGGTATTGCGCCTATTGCAATTCGTGCACAAGGTCGCGTCCCGTCGACGCGCAGCCGACTTTGCGCATCTATTGCAATTCGTGCACAAGATCGCGGGCCGTCTATTGCTTTTACCTGCCGGGTTCATGCAGCAGGGGCAGTCTTATTGTGAATTGTCGCATTGTAACTTCTATTCAAAGATGGGACTAGCATGAACTAAAAATCATAAAATAGAATTGTATTCGTTCTGAATCATATCAGCGTTTGTGTATAAACCACTTTCTTATCGCATCCGCCGTACGAGATGCTACGCGTAAGATTCTCGTCGCGCTGTCGCATGCAGCACATTTTAGTTTAGTTCTTATTACAGGTACCGTGTCTATTGCAATTCGTGCACAAGTTCGCGTGCCGTTGACGCGCAGCCGGTTTTGCGCATCTATTGCAATTCGCGCACAAGGTCGCGTGGTATCGACGCGCTGGCTTTGCGCATCTATTGCTTTTGCCTGCCGGGTTTATGCAGCAGGCACAGAGTCTTATAGTGAACTGTCGCATCCGTGCGTGCGCAGTTTCGGCAAGCGCTATCGATGGATTGCAGTCAGTTGCGGGCTGGTCGCTGGAGTATCTACACGTATTTTCCGCGTCGCGTATCGTTTGATCGAACTTCTATTTTCTAAATTTGTATTTCGAGTATGTTCGGTCATCAATCGACTTAGTTGTAACATGCATCTCCAGTGTTATCTTAGTGATTAATTGTGCGTTTATGTTCATACAAGTTTTTTTTTGCTCGGTTTTGAAGTTCAATTTTCAAATTACAAGATTGCTGCGGTTTTATTGTCGGTTACTGTGTGACTTTGTCGGTCAATCGGATACATATTCCTGCCATGTTTTTTTCCGTCATTAGGAGGTCCTTTCGTGCTTGAGTAAGTACTCGTAACTTATATCTGACCATTTCGAATGTTTGTTTTTCTCCGATGTGTGAATATATTATTATTTTATTGTGTCATAGAGTATAAATTAAAGCAATATTTGCGATTTCATAGGCATTATTAAATTGCTTATGACTGACATTTTCATGCAATATCAAGTTTGTTGCATATATGTAGGTTAGATGGCACTACGATGCACGTTTTCGCGTTAAATATTGCTTGTCGGTGGTAGTGAGTGCACACCGTGTCCGTGTGCGATCACGCAATTTCGCACAAGAGATAAGTTTGTTTACTTGCAGATATTACATCTTGCAGTTCATATTGGCATCGTCTAAGCAAGTATTCTTCAATTCTCAAGTCATGAATATAACTAACAATTTTACATTAGGTGTAATAGTTTATTATAAAAATCTAAACTATCCTCATTATCTCTTTTAGCTTACGAGATATTCGCGATTGAATAAAATGGGCAAAAATGGAAAAATGTCACTTTTTAGCACTTTTAGTTGCATTTTTCGACCTTTTACTGTAGGTAATATAATTATTTTATATTTTTATCTGATAGAGAATTTTCCAGTCTTTCATAATCAGCAATTCTTTGGTTGCTATCGCGTTTAGTTTAAGAGATATTAATTATCAAAAATCGTCGATAAAAAGAATCAAGCACCCCCCTTGGCGATTTTTTCTTAAGACTTAAAATTTCATCTCTCAGATTTCCCTTTTAACTATCTGATAGAGATTGGTCCGTAGATTAAGACGCTGCGATCAGATCTTATTTATCTCTTTTAGTTTACGAGATATTCGCGATTGAATAAAATGGGCAAAAATTGCAAAATGTCACTTTTTAGCACTTTTAGTCGCGTTTTTCGACCTTTTACTATTAGAAATATAATTATTTTATATTTTTGTCTGATAGAGAATTTTCCAATCTTTCATAATCAACAATTCGTTGGTAGCTATCTCTTTTAGTTTAAGAGATATGAATTTTTGAAAATCGTCGAAAAAAGTATCAAGCACCCCCTTGGCAATTTTTCTTAAGACTTAAAATTTCATCTCTCAGATTTCCCTTTTAACTATCTGATAGAGATTGGTCCGTAGATTAAGACGCTGCGATCAGATCTTATTTATCTCTTTTAGTTTACGAGATATTCGCGATTGAATAAAATGGGCAAAAATTGCAAAATGTCACTTTTTAGCACTTTTAGTCGCGTTTTTCGACCTTTTACTATTAGAAATATAATTATTTTATATTTTTATCTGATAGAGAATTTTCCAATCTTTCATAATCAACAATTCGTTGGTAGCTATCTCTTTTAGTTTAAGAGATATGAATTTTTGAAAATCGTCGAAAAAAAGTATCAAGCACCCCCCCTTGGCAATTTTTTCTTAAGACTTAAAATTTCATCTCTCAGATTTCCCTTTTAACTATCCTATCTGATAGAGATTGGTCCGTAGATTAAGACGCTGCGATCAGATCTTATTTATCTCTTTTAGTTTACGAGATATTCGCGATTGAATAAAATGGGCAAAAATTGCAAAATGTCACTTTTTAGCACTTTTAGTCGCGTTTTTCGACCTTTTACTGTAGGAAATATAATTATTTTATATTTTTATCTGATAGAGAATTTTCCAATCTTTCATAATCAACAATTCGTTGGTAGCTATCTCTTTTAGTTTAAGAGATATGAATTTTTGAAAATCGTCGAAAAAAGTATCAAGCACCCCTTGGCAATTTTTCTTAAGACTTAAAATTTCATCTCTCAGATTTCCCTTTTAACTATCCTATCTGATAGAGATTGGTCCGTAGATTAAGACGCTGCGATCAGATCTTATTTATCTCTTTTAGTTTACGAGATATTCGCGATTGAATAAAATGGGCAAAAATTGCAAAATGTCACTTTTTAGCACTTTTAGTCGCGTTTTTCGACCTTTTACTGTAGAAATATAATTATTTTATATTTTTATCTGATAGAGAATTTTCCAATCTTTCATAATCAACAATTCGTTGGTAGCTATCTCTTTTAGTTTAAGAGATATGAATTTTTGAAAATCGTCGAAAAAAAGTATCAAGCACCCCCCCTTGGCAATTTTTTCTTAAGACTTAAAATTTCATCTCTCAGATTTCCCTTTTAACTATCCTATCTGATAGAGATTGGTCCGTAGATTAAGACGCTGCGATCAGATCTTATTTATCTCTTTTAGTTTACGAGATATTCGCGATTGAATAAAATGGGCAAAAATTGCAAAATGTCACTTTTTAGCACTTTTAGTCGCGTTTTTCGACCTTTTACTGTTAGAAATATAATTATTTTATATTTTTATCTGATAGAGAATTTTCCAATCTTTCATAATCAACAATTCGTTGGTAGCTATCTCTTTTAGTTTAAGAGATATGAATTTTTGAAAATCGTCGAAAAAAGTATCAAGCACCCCCTTGGCAATTTTTCTTAAGACTTAAAATTTCATCTCTCAGATTTCCTTTTAACTATCCTATCTGATAGAGATAGGTCCGTAGATTAAGACGCTGCGATCAGATCTTATTTATCTCTTTTAGTTTACGAGATATTCGCGATTGAATAAAATGGGCAAAAATTGCAAAATGTCACTTTTTAGCACTTTTAGTCGCGTTTTTCGACCTTTTACTATTAGAAATATAATTATTTTATATTTTTATCTGATAGAGAATTTTCCAATCTTTCATAATCAACAATTCGTTGGTAGCTATCTCTTTTAGTTTAAGAGATATGAATTTTTGAAAATCGTCGAAAAAAAGTATCAAGCACCCCCCCTTGGCGATTTTTTCTTAAGACTTAAAATTTCATCTCTCAGATTTCCTTTTAACTATCCTATCTGATAGAGATTGGTCCGTAGATTAAGACGCTGCGATCAGATCTTATTTATCTCTTTTAGTTTACGAGATATTCGCGATTGAATAAAATGGGCAAAAATTGCAAAATGTCACTTTTAGCACTTTTAGTCGCGTTTTTCGACCTTTACTATTAGAAATATAATTATTTTATATTTTTATCTGATAGAGAATTTTCCAATCTTTCATAATCAACAATTCGTTGGTAGCTATCTCTTTTAGTTTAAGAGATATGAATTTTTGAAAATCGTCGAAAAAAAGTATCAAGCACCCCCCCTTGGCGATTTTTTCTTAAGACTTAAAATAGAGATTGATCCGTAGATTAAGACGCTGCGATCAGATCTTATTTATCTCTTTTAGTTTACGAGATATTCGCAATTGAAAGAAAATCGTCAAAAATTGAAAAATTCCCGAGTGTCGTTGTTGGAATCTTTGCACGCCGCATGCAGTATATTCTAGTTTAGTTTAGATCGCAAGTATCGTGTCTATTTCATTTCATGCACAAGGTCGCGTGGTATCGACGCACCGGCTTTGCGCATCTATTGCTTTTACCTTCGGGGTTTGCGCAGCAGGTACAGATTCTTATTGTAAACTGTTGCATCGTTGCTTGTGCAGTTTTGATAAGCGCTATCGATAGATTGCAACCAGTTTCGTGCCGGTCTCTAGCGTATCCAGACGTATTTCGCGCAACGCGTGTCGTTTTATCAGATTTCTATTTTATAAGTTGCATTATATTCGGTCATCAATCGACTTAGTTGTAATATGCATCTGCAGCGTTTTATTAATGATTAATTGTGCATTTGATATTTATACTTCATATTACAATGCGGTTTTATTGTCAGTTATTGTGTGGTCGGTCGCTAGATCAACTGGAAACATAATCGAGCTTGAGTAAGTAACTTTTATCTGACCATTGCGATACTCAGCACAGAAAGTTTGTTTTCCATTGTATGAAATGTTTTTATTTTAACTTATGTATTGAATTGTTGAGGCAGTTACATGATGAAACTCTATAATTATCGTAAAATAAATGGATTTATCTTTTATGTTTTCTTTTAATTGCAGTACTTGCCCTACCCTTGCAATCCGATGAGCGCTGCATTGATAAGTTTATAATTAAGTTATATTATTCAGTTAAATGGTTTAAGGCCTGCGTGTTGTACATTTCACTTATTGGTAATATAGAAAACGGATCATATTGCGGGAAACCTTTGTGAAATGTTCAAATTTTTCATCGGATTCTGATAGCGCAAGAGAGGTTTTGTTGATTTTTTTTATTGATTTAGTTGAGTCTCATTCGGTGTACTGTAGCAGGGTACTAGTACTCGTTGCGCTAGGAATTGTAGTTTTTTGATATAACACGCGAACGCGGTGTCACAATAAGTTTGGAATAATTTGTTCAGATGCAGAATTTAATTCTGTATCTCTCTGTTTTGAAATTTATAGCAAGAAAATTCCGTAACTCGAGTTATATTGAAAGTTGTGTGTATACGCACTAGTACTCGTTGCGCTAGGAATTGTAGTTTTATTGATATAACACGCGAACGCGGTGTGATAATAAGTTCGGAATAATTTTCCCACATGCAGAATTTAATTCTGTATCTCCCAGTATTGAAATTTATTGCAAGAAAATTCCGTAACGCGAGTTAAATTGAAAGTTGTGTGTATACGCAATAGTACTCGTTGCGCTAGGAATTGTAGTTTTATTGATATAACACGCAAACGCGGTGTCTCAATACGTTCGGCATAATTTTCCCACATGCACAATTTAATTCTGTATCTCTCTGTATTGAAATTTATTGCAAGAAAATTCCGTAACGCGAGTTGTAATGATAGTTGTGTGTCTACGCGCTTGTATTCGAACTCGTTGCGCTAGGAATTGTAGTTTTTTTATTAGAACTCGCAAACGCGGTCTTAAACTTAGTTCGGAATAATTTTCCCAAGTGCGGAATTTAATTCTTTATTTCCCTGTATCGAAATTTATTGCGAGAAAGTTCCGTAACGCGAGTTATAATGAAAGTTGTTTGTATACGCACTAGTACTCGTATCGCTTATGATTGTAGTTTTTTTTAATTTATAACACGCGAACTCGGTGTCACAAAAATTCGGAATAATTTTCCCAGATGCAGAATTTAATTCCGTATCTCCCTGTATTGAAATTTATTGCGAAAAAAATCCGATACGCAAGTTATATTGAAAGTTGTATGTTTGGCCGTAGAACTCGGTATTTAGTGGAGTTTCATTTGGAGTACTGTAGCAGTGTGGCGATAGAAGTGATTCGTGTTTAGGGCACCGTACGAATGTGGCGGTAGAAGTAACTCGTGTTTAGGGCACCGTACGAAGGTAGCGGTAGAAGTGAGTCGTGTTCATAAAATATAAATTATTTTTTGGACGTTTTAGCGCAGGAAATTTAATTATTTTATACTTTTATCTGATAGAGAATTTTCCAAAATTTCATAATATTTTATCCGTTGGTCGCTAACGTTTTTAGTTTAAATGATATTCCTTACCAAAAATACTCAAAAAACATGACGCAGCACTCCCCTTTGCCCATTTAAGTGAATACTTAAATTAGGCCCGATATTGTGAACACCAATTACTTAATTATCTAAGATACACAGTAAACTTTTACGAAGACAATAAATTATTTATTTGTAATGGTAAATTAAATTGCGGTTTTTTGTCAATCTTATTACATCCCAGAGTCAATATATTCTTTTCTTAAGCCGATAAATATTGAAAGTAACAGTAGATTCCGTGTATATGTGCTATTTCAATATTGTAAATTTTAGTTTAGTATTCTCAACTACGTGTTTATCAGTACGTTTGTGTATAAACAACTTTTTTTGTTCGAGTGACGCGTGTTATCGCTGCGTACCCGCCTTGTACCTGGCTACGCGCGGCGTACACGGCAGTCGTTTCACCGCGTGGTCCGCAAACGTTCCTCTCTGGTCGCCATGCGTTTTAAGATTTTAATTGGATTAATCGTCGTGTATTCTTTCGGCCATTGTCAAAATATTTGAAATGAGCATGTGTGCCTGTTTTGTTTAATGATTTATGGCGGTTAGAGTCTTCTTAGGTGAAATAAGTGTCCGTTAATCCCTGCGCGAGTTTTCAGTTGATAGAATATATTTCAGGATAGAAAATCTCCTCATCAATGCACAGGTAGGTGGATAATTTAAATTTATCGCGGAAAGTTAAGGGGGTTTAACTTAAATTAATTATTCCATCTGAGGGATATTAATTTTGTAGATTACAAACACGTGGTGGAATGTTTATCCAAATTCTTCTTAGTCGCGTTTCCAAAAATAACATGCTTGATTTAATTATTACAAGCACGGTTTTAAAAATTATCTGAGGATTATTAAAATGACAATATTCGTGTTGTCGACCGCGCTCACTTTGCCGTCGGCAGTCGGTTCGGTCATGTTTTCGATGATCATGAAACATTTTAATCGAATTGCATCATTAAATGAATAATTTATTGTTGAAATAAAATCTGAACGGTGAATAGTTTTTAGTTTTCGCAGCCTTAGTAAATCTTAATATTTACAAAGAAATAGTTATTTTTATCGTCTTTAACCACTGTGTTGTTACGCGCCGTCGCTTGCCGGGTATTGATTTAGATGTTTTCCGCCGGATATTCTATCAATTTATGATGATGCTTTACTCGTCGCTTACCTGATACAGTTGATGCTACCATCAATTAATAAATATATATTCATAATATATTAAAATGTAAGTGTTTTATTTTTGTAGCACCTTTTTGTTTTCCGATGATTTTCGGGTAAAATCTCTGATTTTATATTAAAATATTGTTGTTAATTTGCAAATTTCCCTCTTCGTATTGTGAATATTGACTCCCTTTGTAGTTTCTAAAATTTTCTTTTTGTAACACCATGTATATTAGTTCTCCTAACACTACGTAGAAAATCGCCTGTATTTGTTGTTTTTAGGGTTTTCCTGATTTTCCTTTGAATTTTCTTTTTGTGACACCCTGTATGTTAGTTTCCCGGAGCCTCGGGTGAAAAATGAATGATATTTGAAGTGTTGAGAGTTTTTTGTTACACTTAAAATTTTTCTTTTGTAACACCCTGTATATTCATTTCCATTTTCAATCGCCTAGAAAATTGACTATTTACTAATTTCATTATCCCAGTAGAACATTATGAAGTAATACTTGCTGGCATGTGTGCGGCTAAGAAGGTCGTAAGTCCTGTTTCAATATGGCGACATGTATTTTGTTGACTTATAAAATCTAAACTTGTATTCTATTGTTAATAAAGAAATAGTAAGATATATTTACTTCTTTGATTTGTGCGTACCCCTTCTATCATTACAGACACAGGTGTCTGAGAGAGTTCCCTCTCTCAGGGGATGATCCCCACTATAAAAATTGTTAAGGTATCCTGTATGATTCGTGTACTCCTTCTCTCATTTCAGGTACAGGTCAGAACTGGTAAGAATATTTTTAAGTGTCACCTCTCTTGCGGTGACTTAAAACTTAGAAATATTTTTCAAGACCTTATAAGGATTGTCCTTATAAGGAGTTCCTCTCTCTGGGGTGATCCCCACCATAAAAATTGTTGATATGCCTGATAATTTCGGGGATGAAGCGCAGAGACATCGTAGCTGTAGGATGGGCCGGGAGCAATGGACGCATCGAAGCAGTGGGCGATCTCCTAGAGCGCCTCCGGCGTAGACTGTCTTATAACGACACGTGCCAAAAAATTTAAAAATCTCATCCTCTCCTGTTCTCTTTCTTCTCTATCTCCTCCTCTTCTCTACTCTACTCTCTGTTCTCTTCCTTCTATTTTCTCCTATTCTCTACTACTCATTTTTCTATTTCTCTGTTCTCCCGTTCTCCTTTTACTTTCTTATTTCTCATGTTGCCTTCACTTATATTTCAATTTCTCTTATATTTCGTTGCAATTCATATATGCAACCCAAATTACACCAGATATTTTTATATTTGAGAAAAATGCCTCTTGTACCTGAGATTCGATCCGTGTCTGCTAGCATGCCAGCAGGTGCACGTCTCCACTCGACCACCGAGTGTTTTTATCATTATTATTTGATTCTTCTATATATGTTTCTGTTTTTATCATGTTTTTAAAAACAACAACACAATTCAAGCAACAGCAATGCATTGTACACGCTTCACGCACATAAGATTTATATACTATATGATTTAAGACACCGATACTGAAAACAACAAAGGGGATGCCACAAAGAACTAAGAATTAGTTTATAACATTACAATGTGTTTTATTGACAACATTTAAAATACATTTATCTTTCAAATAAAAAAAAAACATTGACGAATCTCAAATCTCGTAGCAATAAAGACTTACCTTAAAATGTGCGCACCTCCAATACTTCTTTCATGTATATCGCAGTTTCCATGACTCCCAAATTCAAAAACTGAGCACCAACGTTGTCTATCAGCAAGAATTAATAATAAAACCAAGTTTTGCCAATATGCGAGAAGATAAACGACTGCCGATGAACACGCACGATGCGCACATAAGACCAACACCGTTGCAGATAATTCCATAACCGAATAATACTTAGCGACGGCCGACGGAACATCCCAAGCGCACAGACGTACAGGTTGCTCCACATTAGCCTGTTACGAAAGACCGATGAAGGCAATTACAGAATTAAAGTAAGAAATGCGAAAAGTCGCACGAAGATCGACTGATGAACAAAACACGTGTTAACTGTAGAACAGCGCGCGATCGACTAAACTGTCGAGAGAATTGATATCAGGCGTAAACAAAGCAGATAGCAAAAAACGCTCTCAGTGAAAATACATTTATAAGTTAAAAATGTACAAGTTTCGACTTGTAGTAAGCAAATATAAGTGCCGATTCTGAACCGGATGCCATAAAAAGTGTCATATTGTAGTTAATGATAAACGCTATTTGCGACACGTGACAACACGTCCATAGCAGTGAATTGACTATTTACAGTGCTGCGCTTTAACGCTGCACTTAACAAAGCAAAGAGTAAATGCAAACTAACAATTTGCACTTGATAAACAAATTTATCAGGTAGTAATGCATTCATAGGAACATTGCTTTCATGTGCAGCAAATTACATTTAACACTAACTGCAACATGGCGGTATCGAATCAAAACATAACACACATTAATTCGACAATACAAATTTGTGCAATATATCTACAGACTAAAACAAGTTTAAAATTATTGTAGCATTTTGTGCACAGAATCAAAATCAGCCGAATTCTGCTCATTTTAGTCCAAACTAAATTTATAACTAAAGTTTGACGTTGCTTATCTCAGTCAAACTAAAGAATAACTAAAGCTTAAAATATAGAATAAAATGTAAATATAAACTAAAGATTTCGTCGGGCGTGGAATTGAATATGACTATAGTAAAAATAATGCAATGTAACTTATATCACAAGGCAATACAATATGACATGTTACGCAATAGCAATACAATCTAACATTTATTGCAACAACAATTTGTAATGAAATCTTGGGCTGCATTTTGAAATAAAGTGTGTCGTAAAACTAAATTTGCCGCTGTTTTCCAGCAGCATTAAATTTTCAATCAAGTTGTTTTCATATTATATAAACAAATACATATTCTTAAAATCGCAGGTAACAATTCTTCAGCTCTTGTTCAGTCTCGTCGAGTCTTATCCTGCGCAACTGGTTGGATTTTGAAGCTGGTTTCACATCTCCGACATTTCAAGTCTTTCTTTTTTCGCACTCTTCTTCTTAGGTTCATCCTCGGTGCTACCTTTCATAAACGACGCCGCGTTAAACCTAAAATATACATATTATTAGAATGCAACGTATGTATATTTTTAGTCTTTCGTGATATGAAATGCCCCAAAGTATATGAAAAATGATATCAAAAATAAAATATTACATAAGATTACTTACATTTTGGGAAAAATTAAGCGGTGTCCTGAGAACACGTTGTAAAGAAACCTAAAGATGCTTTCTTGTTAGGCTTGTTCTATTTTCAACAAAACTCTCTCCAATACAGGGCGAGAAATCATTTTGTCCGGCACCATAATCTGCGTAAAAAATTTAGGAAAACATTAAATTCTATCACTTACAATTTGGAACAAATCCGAAAATCCTAACACGTTCTGAGAAAACCAAAAGACGCGATAAGCCCGTGCAAATTAATAGGTCGGTTCCACATCCACCTGGGGTGAAAACAAAACTGCATTAGCATAACAACGAACAAGGAGTAATTCAAACAATTAACATCCAATTTACTCACCTTGGTACTGATTCTCACGGCAAACTAGACTAGAATCCAAAAATCAAATAAACAGCCCATCTTTAAAAACGGGTCTGTTGTTCTTAAGACGGTGCTCCCGAGAACTATAAAAAAAGAGAATTAAATATAGTAGTTTATAGTTTATAGTAGTACTTTTTATGTACAATTTTTAAGGCTCATATAGAACACAAACATTTTTGTAAAGGTTACTTCACCCTTTATATATGTGTGGGACAGCAAAATATTCTTTATTTCTATTTCAGTGCTAAAGTGATAGAATTATAACACTTCACATTGTAAAATTGAAATAAATAATTATATAAGTTATTATATTAACTTAATAAAAACAATAGTAAAATTTTATATATTTATGTTATATATATTATATTTTATGTATAATTGTGACAACATATCGGGGCTAAGCTAACACACACGTGGATTGTAAGCGTACTTTACACTTTATAAAACACGTTTAAATGTCAATAAATTTATATTTATTTCCTTCCCTGTGTTACTGAGTTATAATTGTAACTCAACTTCATATAAATTTAACCTAACAATTAAATAAAATTTTAAATATTTATGTTTTATGTATTATATTTTATGTTGGCATTCGTGGTTGGTATAATTGAGACAATCTACCGAGGCTAAGTTAACACGCACGTGGTGTGTAAAGCGTACTTTACACTTAATATAACACGTTTATATGCCAATAAACTTATATTCACTTGTTAGTGTTTGTATTATAATTGTAACTCCACTTTTTAAAATTGAAATAAATAATTATATAACTGATTATGTTAACTTAATAACAACAAAAGTAATTTTTTTATATTATATTATTTATTTTATAACTTAGGTAGAGCCACATTTCCACCGAGTGTTTTGAAAATTCACACAAATCGTAAAAGTTTAAGAAGTTTAAAGTTTAAAGTTTAAGCATTTCTAGCGTGATTTCGAGAGGCGGCGATGTCGCATCGTATAAAATGCCTGTCGCTTTATCTAAATTTGAAAATATCATTAAAATCGCACAAACGGTTCCCGAGATACAGCCAAATTTCCACCGAGTGTTTTGAAAATTCACACAAATCGTAAAAGTTTCCGAGCAATTTAAAGGCATTTCTAGCGTGCTTTCGGGGGGCGGCAATGTCGCATCGTATAAAATGCCTATCGCTTTAACTAAATTGGAAAATATCGTTAAAATCGCACAAATGGTTCCCGAGATAAAGCCAAATTTCCACCGAGTGTTGCGAAAATTCATACAAATCGTAAAAGTTTCAGAGCAATTTTAATGCATTTCTAGCGTGATTTCGGGGGGCGGTAATGTCGCATCGTATAAAATGCCTATCGCTTTATCTAAATTTGAAAATATCATTAAAATCGCACAAACGGTTCCCGAGATACAGCCAAATTTCCACCGAGTGTTTTGAAAATTCACACAAATCGTAAAAGTTTCAGAGCAATTTTAAGGCATTTCTAGCGTGATTTCGGGGGCGGCAATGTCGCATCGTATAAAATGCCTATCGCTTTATCTAAATTTGAAAACAGTGTTAAAATCGCACAAACGGTTCCCGAGATACAGCCAAATTTCCACCGAGTGTTTTGAAAATTCACAGCAATCGTAAAAGTTTAAGAACGATTTTATAGCATTTGTAGCGTGATTTCGGGGGGCGGCGATGTCGCATCGTATAAAATGTCTATCGCTTTATACAAATTTGAAAATATCATTAAAATCGCACAAACGGTTCCCGAGATACAGCCAAATTTCCACCGAGTGTTTTGAAAATTCACACAAATCGTAAAAGTTTCAGAGCAATTTTAAGGCATTTCTAGCGTGATTTCGGGGGGCGGCAATGTCGCATCGTATAAAATGCCTATCGCTTTATCTAAATTTGAAAATTTCATTAAAATCGGGCAAACGGTTCCCGAGATACAGCCAAATTTCCACCGAGTGTTTTGAAAATTCACACAAATCGTAAAAGTTTCAGAGCAATTTTAATGCATTTCTAGCGTGATTTCGGGGGGCGGTAATGTCGCATCGTATAAAATGCCTATCGCTTTATCTAAATTTGAAAATATCATTAAAATCGCACAAACGGTTCCCGAGATACAGCCAAATTTCCACCGAGTGTTTTGAAAATTCACACAAATCGTAAAAGTTTCAGAGCAATTTTAATGGCATTTCTAGCGTGATTTCGGGGGCGGCAATGTCGCATCGTATAAAATGCCTATCGCTTTATCTAAATTTGAAAATATCATTAAAATCGCACAAACGGTTCCCGAGATACAGCCAAATTTCCACCGAGTGTTTTGAAAATTCACACAAATCGTAAAAGTTTAAGAACGATTTTATAGCATTTCTAGCGTGATTTCGGGGGGCGGCGATGTCGCATCGTATAAAATGTCTATCGCTTTATACAAATTTGAAAATATCATTAAAATCGCACAAACGGTTCCCGAGATACAGCCAAATTTCCACCGAGTGTTTTGAAAATTCACACAAATCGTAAAAGTTTCCGAGCAATTTAAAGGCATTTCTAGCGTGATTTCAGGGGGCGGCAATGTCGCATCGTATAAAATGCCTATCGCTTTATCTAAATTTGAAAATATCATTAAAATCGCACAAACGGTTCCCGAGATACAGCCAAATTTCCACCGAGTGTTTTGAAAATTCACACAAATCGTAAAAGTTTCCGAGAGATTTAAAGGCATTTCTAGCGTGATTTCGGGGGCGGCAATGTCGCATCGTATAAAATGCCTATCGCTTTATACTAAATTTGAAAATATCATTAAAATCGCACAAACGGTTCCCGAGATACAGCCAAATTTCCACCGAGTGTTTTGAAAATTCACACAAATCGTAAAAGTTTAAGAGCAATTTTAATGCATTTCTAGCGTGATTTCGGGGGCGGCGATGTCGCATCGTATAAAATGCCTATCGCTTTATCTAAATTTGAAAATATCATTAAAATCGCACAAACGGTTCCCGAGATACAGCCAAATTTCCACCGAGTGTTTTGAAAATTCACACAAATCGTAAAAGTTTAAGAACGAATTTTAAAGGCATTTCTAGCGTGATTTCGGGGGCGGCAATGTCGCATCGTATAAAATGCCTATCGCTTTATCTAAATTTGAAAATATCATTAAAATCGCACAAACGGTTCCCGAGATACAGCCAAATTTCCACCGAGTGTTTTGAAAATTCACGCAAATAGTAAAAGTTTAAGAGCGATTTTAAGGCATTTCTAGCGTGATTTCAGGGGTCGGCAATGTCGCATCGTATAAAATGCCTATCGCTTTATCTAAATTTGAAAATATCATTAAAATCGCACAAACGGTTCCCGAGATACAGCCAAATTTCCACCGAGTGTTTTGAAAATTCACACAAATCGTAAAAGTTTAAGAACAATTTTAGGCATTTCTAGCGTGATTTCATGGGGCGGCGATGTCGCATCGTATAAAATGCCTATCGCTTCATCTAAATTTGAAACTATCATTAAAATCGCACAAACGGTTCCCGAGATACAGCCAAATTTCCACCGAGTGTTTTGAAAATTCACACAAATCGTAAAAGTTTAAGAACGATTTTATGGCATTTCTAGCGTGATTTCGGGGAGCGGCGATGTCGCATCGTATAAAATGCCTATCGCTTTATACAAATTTGAAAATATCATTAAAATCGCACAAACGGTTCCCGAGATACAGCCAAATTTCCACCGAGTGTTTTGAAAATTCACACAAATCGTAAAAGTTTAAGAGCAATTTTAAGGCATTTCTAGCGTGATTTCGGGGGCGGCAATGTCGCATCGTATAAAATGCCTATCGCTTTATACAAATTTGAAAATATCATTAAAATCGCACAAACGGTTCCCGAGATACAGCCAAATTTCCACCGAGTGTTTTGAAAATTCACACAAATCGTAAAAGTTTAAGAACAATTTTAAAGGCATTTCTAGCGTGATTTCAGGGGCGGCAATGTCGCATCGTATAAAATGCCTATCGCTTTATCTAAATTTGAAAATATCATTAAAATCGCACAAACGGTTCCCGAGATACAGCCAAATTTCCACCGAGTGTTTTGAAAATTCACACAAATCGTAAAAGTTTAAGAGCAATTTTAAGGCATTTCTAGCTTGATTTTAAAGGGCGGCAATGTCGCATCGTATAAAATGTCTATCGCTTTATACAAATTTGAAAATATCATTAAAATCGGGCAAACGGTTCCCGAGATACAGCCAAATTTCCACCGAGTGTTTTGAAAATTCACACAAATCGTAAAAGTTTCAGAGCAATTTTAATGCATTTCTAGCGTGATTTCGGGGGGCGGTAATGTCGCATCGTATAAAATGCCTATCGCTTTATCAAAATTTGAAAATTTCATTAAAATCGGGCAAACGGTTCCCGAGATACAGCAAAATTTCCACCGAGTGTTTTGAAAATTCACAGCAATCGTAAAAGTTTAAGAACGATTTTATAGCATTTGTAGCGTGATTTCGGGGGGCGGCGATGTCGCATCGTATAAAATGTCTATCGCTTTATACAAATTTGAAAATATCATTAAAATCGCACAAACGGTTCCCGAGATACAGCCAAATTTCCACCGAGTGTTTTGAAAATTCACACAAATCGTAAAAGTTTGAGAGCGATTTTATGGCATTTCTAGCGTGATTTCGGGGGGCGGCAATGTCGCCTCGTATAAAATGCCTATCGCATTGCAAGTTTTTAAAGTTTTTAAATTTCGATAAAAAGCAAACTGTCGAGGCGCCCAATTTCGCCGATTTTCGATTGCAAATACCATCCAAACTAAAAGAGATTGCAACCACAAAATAGGATATTATGGAAGATTTGAAAATTCTCTGTCAGATGGATATTTAAAATAATTTAATTTCATGAGTCGATTTGCAAACGATACTCGTGTGTATATTCCGATGCGGTATGTATACGTGCACAATAACAAATCTTATCACTTATCGTTCTAAACCGGTGTGCTTGCGTATGAATAAGACTTCTAGAACGATGCATGCGCGACCAGATGAGTTCAACAAAGACAACAATTTCAGCAAAGGAAAATGTGGAAAACCTGTACTTACCACTATTTCTCGACACGTAATTCCTTGAAATAAGAACATGACGGCGGTGGATTATCACAAAATACAGTTTATCGAAAGAAAACCTCAACGCGAATTAACAAATAACAAACTCACAACGAAAACGATTGTAGCGAAAAACGTGTCTGACTCCACGAACGCCCGGTGCTGAACTAAGCGCGCGTGTAAGTCGAGCACGCTCAACATATACATACAAGCATTTAAATGAAGCGTGTACTTCCACCAACACTTAAGAACCGTTTATCTCATAAACTAATAGAGGTACACAAAAACGGATATCGACATAATGTTCAGCACACAATTCTAGATATGATAAAGCTTTAAAATTTGTACTTTTGAATAAGTAAAAATAAAATTGATTTTGAAAATGACAGCGCCATCTATTATCTTAATTCATTATTAGAGCAGCGCCACCAGTAGCAGTTGCAAGCAGGTTGTTGCTGGTTGTCAACGGGATTGAAGTAAACGTCAAAACAAATTGACGTGGATGTCTCGCCCGCGATGATGGTATTATAATCCTCATAATCGAAGGAAAATACCGAAAATGGATGACTGATAACGTGAAAGGGTCGCCCCGCACGCATTGTATACAACAACGACCGCCCGCCGCATAAGTTTACGTACACGACGCCAAAGACGCCGCATCGCCAATCCATCAACTGGCATAATTCGGTAAGCATGAGCTGGGGCACCAACCCGGAGACAATTTCACAATTGTCGGTCGATGCTCATTAATATTAATTTAAACGGCATATAATTGGACCATTTATTGACCTAATTACTTGTGTTTTAGGCTTGCATTTGTACAAATATTAGAATATAATCATGGATGAGGATTTATTATCACCAGGGAGTAGCAAAAAAAGTGTAGTGTCACAGGCATGGACTCGAATTTCACAGGTAATTTACCTTATTCACATTATTTAAATGCCTCACATTAATATAAAAGTTAGAAAATATTAATATGCTTAATACTATATGAAATGACTAGAAAATTAACAAAATATCAATGCAAAACAATTAGATATATCAAAGTCAGCTGGATAGTTGGACGCCGTATCCAAAAGGTCGTTGGGGTGGCGCTCTAGCGCTGCTCGTGCTTTTCTCCTTCCGCATCATCAGCAAGCAGGTACGCCGCCGGCACGGCACCCTTAGTATAATTTGCTTTCTCTGTTTGTAGTGGTACCAGGGCGTGGTGGACAGTACAGTGCCATTTAAGGCAGGCAGATGGATCTTTGCCGTGCTCTTCGTGGCCGGATTCCTGGCTCGAGTCCTGATCGCGCAGGTATCCTCCCTAATTATTTACATATCTCATCTATCACCTCATATTCTTACTCATTCAGATCTTGTCGAAACGAACAGTTGAGTGTTTTTGTCCACCACCGCCTCTGGGTGCCTGTTAAATCTAAGCAAATTATACTTGGGGTCGGCTCATTCTATACCTAAATGTTAGACAGACTTAGAAAGTAACACAATTTCGTTGCAGGGATGGTACATAGTCACCTACGCCCTCGGCATTTACCATTTAAATCTATTTATTGCATTTTTAACGCCAAAAATCGATCCAGCGATGGACTTTGATGGTAAGACACGTATAAATTTATTAGGCGAATGATATAATATAAATACACTTCTCACCAGCTGAAGAAAATGGTCCGGAGCTGCCTACGAGAGCAAACGAAGAATTCCGGCCGTTCATCCGCCGCCTGCCCGAATTCAAGTTCTGGTATTCCGTCACGAAAAGCACGCTATTTGCGCTGTTCTGCACGCTGTTCGACTGCTTCAATGTGCCGGTGTTCTGGCCAATTCTCGTCATGTACTTCTTCACGCTGCTGTGCATCACGATGAAGCGCCAGATCCGACACATGATCAAGTATCGTTATCTGCCGTTCACGCACGGCAAACCCAAGTACCAGGGACACGAAGACACGGGGAAGGTGGTCGGCGGCGCCAATTGACCCCGCGGATGTTTATAAAATATAAGTTTTCAATCTAGCATAACAGACGGGCGTAAACGTACACGCGTGCACGTGTACAATGAACGATTCACGCTAGCGATTACTTTCACTTAAAACATTGATGAATAAATTTCAACATTAGATACGTGTTTCTACAGATGCATACGCAGTCGGATTGCGGGCATAGTCATGGAGCAAATGGGGAACTTTAACTTGTAACTAGCAAACATAAAATGTATTATTTCGACATAAGTTGTTTATACCGCGAGTTGTTTTCTTGGTGTTTTTCGTTATTCCTACCTTTGTTGGAAGAGTGTGTATTAGTATCATTTGTATTTGTACACCTAATTTTCAATTTACGTGTAAATAAACTTCAAACACTTACACAATTTATATGAAGTGATTTGTATTATGGATAATATTATTAAAATTTTAAAATATGCAGAAAAAATGACAGTAACGCGAAATATCCACTGTGCAATGCATAAAAAACCAAATTGCAATGTTTATGTTGTTTTCATTTCCTACAATTTTGATATTTTGATAAAGAACTCAGGAAAAAATAAATTGCTCGTCATTTTGACATGACTTTCATAAATATGCGATGACGAAGCAAAAATTTGAACGAGTAAACGATATAAGTGAGTATAAAATCAAAAAATTGCGCTAAATAGTTCAATTATTGCTATTTTACGCGTTTTGTTTTAAAAACTAAAAAGAGGTAAGTGAATTAAGTATTTTGCACTCGAATATGCTGTGAAAAGTTTATCTTTTTTCATTTAAATGAAATTTTCTTAAGATGTATGCAGCAATTTTCAACGTTTTAATCTGGTTAAATTCCAAAGTGCAAAATCATGCGATTTGCACTCGTATGTACAAAAATAATATTTTAACAGTTGTTCTCTAAATGAACCAACATGTTAAGATAAATAAATATCATAATCAATTGTTTTTATGATTAAAATATATATAAAAATATGGCACTCTTACGCGAATTGTCCTCGTTCTAATAGTTTGACGATCCGTTTCAATTCCGTAATCCGCAACCGATTTGTTTCCAGACGTTTCTCCAAATCTTCGCATATTGGTCGCGTTATTTTGGACACGATGTGCACATGATTCAAAGTTTTTAATGCCTCATTGTGCATACTAATTAGAAAATCATCGCACTCGTCATCCGGTGCATCTTTATGATTATCTTTCTCTTCCTGCACTAGATTTTTAGGCAATGTAGACAAAGCTTCCAAGTTATGTGTGGCTAGTTTTGAATCAGCAATTTCCAGCTTAATTTCCAACCGACGATCGCTATCACTTAATGATTGGAAGGCTATTACCTGTACTTGATTGTCTACAGAACCAGCATTCTTTGGGAATACTGAGAATATCAAACCAACAAAAAAACGTTCCATCATTTGGTACAAAGCTTGAGTTTTAATATCTAAAAATAAAAAAAATGTTTAAATATTATTTACAGAATTATTAACTTTTCAAATAACTCACCAACATGACTTGGCCAAACTGTAATATGTGGATGCGAGTGATACCAGCCAATTACTCTGAGTTCTTTCTTGAGTCGATTAGAAAGTTTCTCAGCTAAGTTAAAAGATTGCAGAAGTTGTTCAGATGATATTTCAACTCTATCTGGTTGTTTATCAATGCGCCGCAGAATAGTACAAGCTGATATATGTGAGGTAGAAGTAGTTTCATCCACCTAACAGTAAAAACCATCAATTTATAACAAAATCAAACTTAGTAACCTTAAAAATCAAAGCTTACGTTTCCGATTAGAAGACCCATGACTTCCTCCTTTTCGGTGGACAGCGCGTGTTGCAGACATACCGCATATACATCAGCGTTTAAAATTACTTTGTTTAAGTATTTAGGTTCCATCTTGTCCGGTTTTTAAGACATTAAGAAAAAGTTCACGAAGTTTACAATTAGTTAAACTGTTCTTTAGTAAACATCAATGTTAGGCAACCAAGTTAGCAGCAATGCAACGCATAAAATACATCTGCGCAATAAATTATTAAATCATAGTTTTCCGCAGCAGAAATACTACAAAAAATCAATTATTCTAACATTGATCTTATAAATAACTTACTTTGCGTTCAAAATAAAGTTATTTTCATAATTACAAAACATATGCAACCTTATAAACATACAATATATTTATTCCTGTAAAAAGAACAAATTACAATTTAAAATATTTAAAAAATGACTATAAAACTTCTCTGACAGTTATTATTGTTAAAAATTAATTTAAATAAAAAAAACAAGAATGTTAAGGTGAAGTCTGCAATGCGACGGCGTGAAACCATCGTTGGCGGCAGCGGCGGGGGCGGCGTCCGGTGTTGGCGGCGCCTCGACCGTCCACGCGCTCCTTAGTGGTGCGCCCGCTCCGTGCTGGCGAGACGGTATGCGTCAACGTAATGACACCCTAATTGCAAGCGCTTGCAAAACTCGTGTGCGTAGAATCGCATTCATTTCGGTTGTCTTAAATTAACTCCAACAACAATCATGATAAACCTTCGTAAAATTTGCTATAACATCTAATAATATACTAAATACTAAACACAGTGTGCAGTGGTCAAACAATCAATCAAACCGAAGGAAATTCCCAGAGATTTGTAGCAATTGTACAATATAGTAAGTATAAAACAAATCATAATAAATCAGATAACAAAAAAACGTGTTGTAAACATTAGTAAAGGAAATCGAATAATGGTAGGACATCGAAAACAATGAAAACCGGACATTTCAGGCTTGAAGCTATCTGTTGGTGGTAAATATAGAGTAGCATCGCGTACGAGCGCGCGGAGAGAATCCGGAGGGATGAAACCACCGCCGGCCGCCGCCGCTCTGGTGTGCGTCCCCCCCGCCGACGAAAATCGATACATTTTTCGGTCGGATACGTGAAACGGGCCAGCAAAAGCGCAAGCCAAGCGAGGGAACGCGCGCGCGACGAATTCACTTGCACATAACCCGGTTGTATAACCTGTTCTTAGATTTATTAAAAGCTGCAAACACACATAACTCACATCACTTACATCACAAACGACTTAAAAACTAAATTACAAAGTACTACATATCGATTATAATGAAAAAAAACCGCACAAAACTAGTAATTTCAACGTGCAATTTGTAAATTTATTATTTTCATTAATATTTATGCCCAATTAATCAGTTTTTCCTGCTTAATTAGTTGTAGTTGTAGTTTAGCAGGAGTAAATTGCGATGGTGAAGGCGCCGGGTCAGCACGCGTGGTAGTGACATTGACATTTCGCACGCGATGCTCAAACAGTTTATAAAATCGCAGTTTTTCGCAATTTACGTTCATGCTGCAAGGTTGCATACGCTGTTAGATTGAATTTTCAAGGCGAGTGAAATGTAAAAATACCAATATGCCGAGTTTATAATGAAACTGCTGATGAAGGAAAGCGGTAACCTCGATTAATTTCACGTTTTATCGCCGCGTAGCAATCCGGCTGCGGGACGGCGGCTATCAATTAATGATTAGACCCGGTAAACATTATCAATCGCCTCGATCTTTGACCTTATCCGGTATCAAAGCTTTTTGCGATGGAAAGGTTATAAGGGTTTAGTTTTTGTACACGAAATTAACTTTTAATTTAAAACGCTTTTTAAGTAGCTTAAATTGAAGGTTATGTCACTTTTATGTTAAATCTAACCTATAAAAATGTTTTTGAACAAAATTATCAAAACTATTCGTCGTAAAAGTTGATTTTATGCCTTGTTTTGATTTAATTATTAATTAATTACATCAATATGCAGTAAAAAACTCAAATGTGTACTTTGCGCATTGGAAAATTTGATAAAAGTCACGCCATGTAACATTTCCGATGTTGCTACAAAATATACACTTAACGACCTCGCCTGAAAATAACAACAATAACAATCTCGAATGTTGATTTGACCTTTTGCGACATTTATCATAACGCATGACCGCAAACCGCAAGCGGCACGGGAATGTTATATGGAAAGTATAACGTGGAGTGATGTGCGCGTGAAGGCCCTGGATGTCGGCTTAATTCCTTGCCCCTGGCACGGTTCCAACTGGAATCGGAGCCGGGAAGCATAGCAGGAAAAATCGAGGAGAAATTGGGCACGCGGGAGAACATGACACACAAACAACGAAGAAGATGGCCGATGCGACAGAATGAGGCTAGGTTATTCGATTTGGATTACTAGGAAATTTCTCCACATTCACATCGTACTTTCTTTTGCTCGCAATTTTGTCCCGCTTTGGAGTTTTTAGTAAAAATTAATTTTTACTTTCTTCTCAAAATTATTCGCAATTTTATTTTAAAGCAACGCAAAATGCTAATAATGCACTTAAACGCCATCTAGGATTCAATTATTTAATTATAAATATGATTGTACCTCTATATAAACTTTCATCCCTTATTTAACACTCTTTAAATGATAATTTTTAATATTTTAATAGTTATTCTGCTATTTGGAGTAAAGACAAATCCAAAAAATCATAAATCATCAACATCTGTCCAGCCGTTAATGAGTTATCAACGTTTTAACTAACCCTACTTTCTTTATATGCATATAGATAGATATATAGAGTGTTTTACAAATGATACTCTCCAATATACACGTCCTAGTACTAAATTCATCGCTTCGAAAGTTTGTTGTCAAACTTGTAGGGCTCTAGGCAAATTGCTTTAATCAAACTTGTTTGGTTGCTTCTATTCTTCCTTGATAGAGTCTTTGGCTGTTGTGGTCGGCCGCGCGCTGAACTGCAGAATAGTTTCCGCATGGCAGTTAACAACGTAGGCACTTATCCGGATGGAAAACACTTCAAGCCGTCTCGAGTTACTCCAGTTGCTGCTTACGAAAACTACACCAACTAAAACTACATCGTTGAACAGTGTAGCCTCACGGAAAAACAATATATCAAACAAATAGGGATCATATAATAGAAGCTAATAATTATAATGATGGGTTTGGTGTATAATTAAGCCACACATAAATTTGTGAGGATAATTTGCATCGCAATCATGATCTAATTGCATAGAATTATTATGGTTTATAATAGAGCCAGGAATTCATAAATTGCAGTCGGGAAATAATTAATGTATGATCCTTTGTCGTTGCAGTAGTAAAAGGAGGACATTCGGCGACTTTGCTTAGAAAAATTTGCATTTAATAAGGTTATATCAGTATTTTGTTGTTCATAACCTTAAAATTTAGCTATTCAAGTTTACTATCAGTTTTCTTTTGTGTAGAAACTTATTTTAGGTTAAAAATACTTAGAAAACAGCCTCAGACACTAAAATAAAGCATATTTGGTATAATATAGATGGTAATATGCTTGATATATGAAACTAACCTCAAAATTCACTTACTTTCCGGCATATCTGCGCAGTATATTAAAATATCTGCGTCACTCTCTGCTTTTCTCTCTGCGTCACATTATACACCCATTCACAATGTGCTGTTAATTGATAATTAAAATTTCATCAATTTTAAAGTGTTTGCTGCGCAGTTCAAAGCGCTGACCTTCACGTCATGCGGGCTTTTATCCCCGTCACGTTGTTTACGCAAAGTAAAGCATAACACGTGACTTATTCCACATCAATGCCTTTTAATAACACGCTTTGTTGTCCCACATCAATCTCTAACGACTTCCAACGCTTTTCAAACGCGCTCGATATTCATAGCATCCGCAGATGAGTGACGTGCCTGTCTTCAACTCATGACGCCATGACGAAGATAAGCAAGCATGCTGCTGCGTCATATTGTCAGTAAGATGGAGTTATAATGCCGCTGGAATTTACGTGTCCTTGAGGCATCACAAGGAGAATATATGAGACAAACAAAGACGACAGTCAGACATTGTTAAGAGATACGAAACTAAAACTTGCCTGAAAAAAAAAACGAAGAAAATGTTAGACACGGCAAAAATCAACAAAAACTACATACGCACACAAAGTTTGTTTTGAAGATAGTTCTGTAGTACAAGCACGCTGGGGGTGTGCACAGGGGCAAGAGGAGAAGTTGGCGGCGCCAGCGGCTCTGCCAAAACGCGGTGCGGCGTGATCGGCGGCGACGTCGCGGCGCCTGCATCCGTCACGAATAGCGGGGACGGTATTGGCATTCTCGAACATAAAATAAACCCAACGTCCAGCCAACCACAGCCACCCTATGAATAAAACAACGCGGTGAATCTTAAGTTATGCTTATCATATTAATTTAAAATGTAAAATACGTTCCTGCGGTTTTTAAATTTTCTTAATTTATGACAGCCTAGCAATGGCCGCCGGGGACTTACAGATCATTGTTAGGTAGCGCACGTACGCGATAAATGAAGCTTACGATGCGTTTACAGAGAGCACAAGATTTTCGGCGTTCGTTTGGACGCGCGCCAATAAATTGTAGCAAAAGTCGTAAAACGACGCCGAAATAAATTACATCAACCAAACAAATCTTTTCTGTTGGGCTTTTCCAGCCTGCCATGCTCTGTAATTGCGATGAGGAGGCAATAAACGCACCGCATGCATCACAAAAGGACATACGTCACTCATGACTACTGTAAGTTAACTTTTTTGTTTTTAAAAATGGTGAAGGCGCCGGGTTATAATATAAATTTAAATACGAAATAAAATTCCAGTTGGGAAAGTACTGTGATGGCGGCCATACGTGCAGCCCGCCGAAGGACTGCTGCAAGCAGGGTTGCTGCTACCCAGCGGATTCAGTATTCCGCGCCGGTGGCTACACCGTGGGCACCGCCAACGCCGGCGGTGGCGGTAGCAGCATCCACCTGCCCGCCAACAACATGGTGTCGCTGGTCATCGGCCACTGGTACTTCTGGGCGGCGACCACCGCCACCCTGTTGGGAATCCTCTGCGCGTGTTCATTGTGGCGCCGGCAGAGCACCGCCTCCTTCACGGGCGCATCATTATGCTGCGGAGATGTGGGCGGAAGTGGGCGTGTCGGCGATGAGCATCATTCGGAACCAGATTCGAATGGGTCATGCTACGCGCCGCCGCAGTACAGTCGATGCGGTAGTTTTCATCAGGCGCCGCCCCCGTATTCGGAGGTCACCTCCAAACCGGATCTCTACCCGCTTGTCATCAGCTACAATGGTGACGCTGTCGTGAAGTCCAACGGTACCTCAACCGGGTATCTGATGGTGCAGTATTTTAGAAATTTTATTGTTAGACCCGTAGGTGAGTGATGAGTGATTACATCCAAACTAAAACAGAAAAAATAAATTAATTTATGTTTTTCCTTTTTTGAAGGAACGTTATCTGCAACTAGCACAATCGACTCGTTAAGCTCTAGTTTCATATGCAACGCCGCCAATGAGGTACGTGTGTCCTTGAAACACTTCCAACTTTCGTGCAAAAACTCCGCTTGGTGGTCTGCCAAAGAACAATAAAAATAAAATCAATCTACAGAGTGTCACACAACGCTTACAACAAATTTTTTCATTATCCTTGAAGATTTTAAACATTTCAACACTCTGTAGCGCAGAAATCGATACAAAACTTACTTGTTAACCCATAATTTCGCAAAAGTTCAATGTTGGAGTAAGTAGGTAATAAATTCATGCATTTTCCGCAGGCGAACAACATCATACCGCCGCCCTACTCGTGCACAGGCAGCCTGGAAGAAGTCTCGGTAGTCGTCGGCGGTCCGCCGCCCCAGCAACAGCAACCCCAGTCCAATACGCATCAAGCGCGTAATTCAACATCTTCTCCGGTGCCAGCACCCACCCCACCACCGCCCCCAATCGGCGCCATTCTTGGTGTAAGTCCCTCCGCGTCACTGCAGCAGTTTTTAAACTCGCCGCGGCAAGAAGTCGTCGATCTCACCGATTTTGTAAATCGGGCGTCATCCACCGACGATCCACCTGCGTCCAATCTTAGCACCAACAAAGAGGAACCTCCTGAGAGTGTTGAACCCGCAGTAAAACTGAAGAAACGCGAGGTACGTCTGCGTGATAAATTCAAACCCAGGCATCAAGCTTCAGTTGAGTCTGAAAGCGATCCGGAGCACAACTTTTCCGATTTGTTGAATTTATCGGTGTGTGCACCCTCGAGCCTCGTCGCGTCTAGTGTGGTGATAAACGCACAGAGCAATCCACAAATGGATATGATTTACAACAGCGTTACGAATAGTATGACAAGTTCAGATATAAGCAGTCTGGCAAATCTGGGCACGCCGGATTCCCCGCCACGTGCGACCAGTCCCACGCTGGAGATGCGTGAGTTACTGGATAAAATTCAACAATTGCCCGCGCAGCATAAAAGCCCGGTGAGTGCGGAGGCGCCTGCACCAAAGTTAAAACACTACTTTAATCGCTCCAAGGCGAAAACGTTGTACATGCCGTTAACGTCCAGCTCGGCGGTAGGCGGTGCCGGAAAAGAGGAAAAACGCCGTAGTTGGTTCCCGCGTTCCGCGCCGACCACGCCTTGCGGATGTTTCACGCCCAATTTCCCAACTGCACACCACGAAGGCAACGGGGGCGTTACCTCAAAACGCAGCGGAAGTCAAAAGGGCAGTCGTAGTAAACTCTACGATGGTAGTCCATTATTACGTGAGCATGATGAAAGCGATGAAGAGAATGATCGTTCGTGATTTTTCATAACAATTATTAACAATTCGTACAATAACAGAGCGCACGCGGCTAAAACTACAATGATGATGATGAAGAACTAAGAGCGAACCTGATGTTGTTTAAAAAAGTGTACTTATTATACCGCTACAAATACCGCGTAAAACTAAACTTAATCGTAAAAACGTTGACAAGCCGACAGAGATGTACACGACAAGAATGTAAAACACTCGCGACCTATTTTTGAATACTTCTACAAAATCAATTACACTGTTACACTTTCAAAACACTTGGTATAGGAAGACAAGAGAACCCAGAAAATATTGTGCTAGGTTTAAAAAGCAGGAACCCCGTGCTTTCGATGTCAAAATGATTGATTTGGCGTTTTTAAACCTAGCATCCTCGTACGATACGTATTATACACGATACAACAACAAAAAAATAACAAGCGCTTTGCTAGAGTTTAAATGTAAATGGTCAAATGTACGATTAAACAATCCGTCGCGTCTAGTTTAAGCCAACTTACGCCATTAATTCTTAAGTGATTCTCTAAGGATAGATCCCGCGCCGGCCCTATATATATATTCTTACATAACTAATATATTGAATATATATATATATATTATATTATATATTGAATGCTAAAGAGATTGTTTATATAGTTCGCAAAGATATACCAAGTAAACCGCAAATTCCAAACAAATCCAACGCATTGAAATATTATTTAAAAATCGGAGTGCCAACTCCTAACCGGAGAGTTTTATGTGAAAGTTGATGTACAAGAAATCAGGGATGACAAGATAAGACAATTGTTTCAAATTGATTGCATTGTGACTTTGCGATTCGGATCAGTCGATCCCAATTTCCACTTAATTGACTTTAGCGCTGTAATTGTAATTTTTTCATACGGATTCAAAATAAATTGTTCGGATTATGTGAATTATCTCGGAAGCTTTACATCGCATTCACTGGTTTCATCATCACGCACACAAATATAGATTTATATACATTAAGAAAATAAATAGATTTTGAACGTGTCGCACGTGGGCAGTTCGCATCACGTCTGATTGTTGAACTTGTTCGAACGCAGCCGCTCCAATCCGGTGCGTTCCTCTTCTTCGTCACTGGTATAAGAACTCATGCCCAGGACAGCTCCACGTGTACATGTCGCCTGCATCAGTTCCTGATCCGGTCCATTTCTTGTCTCATAAAGTAAAATATTCAAAGTTTCTTCGTAGATTCGCGACTCTGGACATTCAACTTTATTGTGTTTTTTGTCTGTTGCGTAGACGATTGACGAGCAACACACTTCGGATACCTTTTACCGTGTCCGTAGAATGTCCAACAGCAGATCTCACTGGTACTGATCACATCCTTGATAAAAAGCACGCGATTTTTGAACCAGAGTGATAATTTGTCAAACAATTCAATGTTTTTCAGTAGATTATCATCGGATGTAGTGGTATAGGAATATTTATTGTTGTGTCTGTTTATTAGTAGTTTTATAGCTGGTTTTGTTGTGGAGCTGATGAGGCGTTCTTCTTCTGCTTGCGATGTGATCAATGGGACTTGACAGAGTGGTTCAACTTCAGCATGTTTTCTTGCCAGGGCTTGTGCACAGGATTCAGCTAGATCTGTGATGCAATAATATTTTGCTTCTGCTTGCAGCTCAGCTAAATCTTTTGTGCTTTCAGGAAGTGGCACTGATCCATCTCTGAGAAAATTTAAGACAGTTGTGAAGTGTTTACCACATCTATCAATTAAAATCCAGCCTGAAATAATATAATTTTAATGTTTTAGTTTGTTATTCTTGTTCTAAATATAATTTTATTGAATATTACCTTCACAATCAGAGCGTACTTCCATTCGACCACTGAACATTGCCCTCAACATTGTGTCATGCTTTGTAAGTGTTCCAATTGTGGTGTAATGCAATGCACCACCAACGTTTAGCTTCACATACTGCGAGGGGTTGTCCTTGATTACCGTCTTGCCGGACATGTTGAGAATTGCGCTGAAATGATTTGTTTTTAGAATAAATTCATGGTAATTTCAATGACAACTTACGAGTTCATAGAAGAAAAGCGACGAGGAAGCTGTGACCGCAAAGTTTTTAATTATTTCTAAGCATTTTATCAATAAACACACATTAAATGTTAGCTATTGTTAGTTGATAACAGTGGGCTGATAACGTGTTATCGAGACGGTTTTACGCTAACTGTGAATTAGTCATTCACGAAACAGGCGATGGAATCGCACCAATGTCATAAAAGTCATAGCTGTCATTTACCAGCCATGAAAAGTTAGTTACTTTGGTGAAATATTGGCAGCGCTGAAAGATATTCAACAGGATTGGATCAAAAGTTAATTTTGTTTTCTTGTTACTATGGAAACAGTTAATAACAACAAAATGTCTGCAAAGTCATTTTAGACTTATTTGCAACACAATTACAACTAATAGCGTAAAAAATGGTTGAAATGTTAAATAAACTCGGCATTTACTTCGATGAAGTCGACAAAGTGCGCATCCTCGATCCAGAAGTCGCTTCACAAACAAACGTCCTGAAGGATGAGTGCAAAATCTACATTGATAGTAATATAACAAATATCCAATCACTAATACATAGAATAAATATCAATTAATTATATTTTTGCAGAATTAGATGAATTTCAAAAGATCATCGACAGTTTCATCACGTTGGTGGATAAATTGGGTAAAGAAGTAGACAAACAGAAACTAAAAGCAATCAGCGCAAGAAATACTCTGCAAACAATGGAAAAACATCGCGAAGTCGATCAACAACAGCTGCAGGCGTTGGTTTCGGAGAAAAGCATGGAATTAGAACGTCTGAAAAACCAGCTCAACTCTTTACAGAAGACTGAAATGGAACAGAATGAAATTTTAAATTCACTTATTAGTTATTAATGTAAGAGGAGTGATTTATTGCACTTTTGTTTGCTAAACAAGTTTTACACACTGATTTTACGCAAATTCTGACTATTGTGTGTTTATAGAAGTTTTTGTGACGTCAGAGAACGTGAAACATTAAACTAACCTCAAAATAGTTACAAACATTCAAGAAAAGAGATGTAAATTGTTATTATATTTCGTGGAAACACGATTAACAATTGTTAGGAGCAGGTTATTACTTTTCTGCGGTTATAAAGCAGTTAATTTACAAGCGGAATTGAATTAAATTGGAAAACTTATTGTTTTTAGATAAATATTGCGTCTTAACCTCTAAACTGTTGAGAAGGTTAAGTTATTAGTAATTTTTATCAAAATAAGATTAAAATAATCTTATGTGTCATAATAACAACATTATTTAGTAATTTTCCGGGTTTTAAACAAGTTTGCATCAAATTTTAAGTTGAAATCAACTTTTTATTAAAAAATAACCTAAGTTAATCAAATTAAATTAAAAATGTAATTGTTTCAGCGCTATTAGATTTTCGTGCAAAATATGTTTGCTCACGTTCATGACTAGATCGTTTTTGTGCATATTAATGCAAAGAAAAACAAGTTATAAAAACGAGTCATGGAATTTTTTCCACTCTGCGCTCTTTTGCGGTTTTATTACCGATGCACTTAACATCACTGCAACACGGTGTAGTCTCTAGATCCTTCTCAGAAACACAATATTCGTTCACAAATAGCCCACGGGCCGCACTCTGCGCATCGCCGAAATTCAAGCTCGCAAAAAATTCGCACTGATTCATTCGCGTGCACAGGTCGAGAAAGAAAGTTCTACACATATTTGTAAAATTCATATCAATATCAACGAAAAGTGCGACTTGTATAAGTCACCCATTGCGAAGCAATGTTCTCCTGCTTCAAATCACTTTTCGGTAAGTTATTCAAACCTCACCGCCGAAGTTTTCCATTATTCTTCGCATTAAAGCAATAAAAAATGCATAAATCAAAACGCGTCGTGTGTTTACCGCTGGCCCGTGGCCCATTGAGGTGTACACCGCATTGTGACGACGATCAACTCTGACATAATTCAATTGAACGGCTTTTGAATGGCACACAAGACTCGCTGCCTCTCAGCGTTTTGTTTGCCAATCTCATAAATAATCATCAATATAATATAGCGACGTGTAAAACACCACGCCACTTCTTTGCGAAACGCACACACGTGTGCAACCTGATTAAAACACGATTAAAGTTAATCGAGTTAGTTAATTAGCACCCCGATCGACTTGTGTGCTTTGGTATAAATCGACGACGGCGAATGCCAAGTGGGAGCGAAAATACTCGGCGCGGCGTGTGCCAATAGAATTTCGTGTGTGTTGGCCCCTTTTTCTGTGGACAGCGTCGCGACGCAAATTACCAACGTGATTTTAGTGCTACAATTACGCCGAAACGATTTGCACACTTTTTTCAGCACTAAATGTGATCAACGCGTGTTTTACGTTTGTTTTTATTTATTTTACGTGAATCTGAATGTTTTGAGTTTTGTGCGTGTGAAAAGTAAAATTTATCCGATGCGTGAATATTTACGAGCGAAAACAAATCGTAAACTGCGTGAAAGTTCACTGCACTTGTAAATACAGTGGATTTTTATTGTTATTATAATAAAAATAATTATTTAAAGCGTAGTTTTGTAGATGACAATGAAATCCGCGTACGATTGTCGGACACATTATTAAAATTTAAATTAAAATAGTTAATTGTGTTTATAATTAGAAGTGAGTTGTGTGTCCAGAGAGATTTATTACAATTACCAACTATATTTATATCTAGAAATATTTTGTAAGTATTTTTTATTTTTATGTTTTATTTTTGTTTTTTGTAATGTGAAACAAATTGAAAGTGTTTATTGACGCGCGAAATTTCGTTTATATAATTTGTTTGGCTGGTGGTTGATGCGTCAATCAATTTCACAGCACAGCGCAGCGCGTTAATGAAAAAAAAGCTAAATTAAGAGCTGCCAATGTGACCTCATTACACCGCACTCAAAATATAATATAATACATTTAACATGTCTTAAGTTGGCTTTTGTGTTGTGCTTTTTAAAAAGATAAGAATTTCCGCTTGGTGAAGCAGAAATTTGTGTGTAAATACAAAAAATATTGTGGCTGAAAGCTTTTTGAGATTAATGTGGTTATAAAGTGATGTTTTATAAGAATATAGAAATGGATTGAATTTTATTCGGTGGAATATTAGTGGTGGATGAGTTTAGGTTGGATGTATGCTCATAGGTATATTTGCAATAGTGGCTTTCGCTTACGAAAATATAGATCTGTTTCCAATTATAGCTGGTCAGAATAAGTTTGTGTGGAATTTGCGAGTTTCACGGTTAATTTTATTTGCGAGCGTCAGCGTGAGTGCTTTGGTAAATCGTACTTCGTTAATCATTGCTCAATATTGCGCGTGACAATTATTTTCGGTGAGTTTCGAGATGTTTTGGATGTAAAGTAGATTTTGTTTTTCATTTTATAGTTTTCGCCTTTTTACTAAATGATGAGATTATAAAACAGATAAAAAATAAGAGTATTATGGCAGTTTTAATATAAATATGTAGTATAAACAAGGAAATAAATATTTATCGACTTTCACTTATAAAGCACCAGTTTTTTCACGGTTTTAGACAAAAAAGTGGTACTTTATATACGAACGGCCATAGCAGTGAAAAAGGACTTTACTCACGGGCATTATCAACGGGGCGGAGCTTGCGCCTGCGCATTTGCCTTCGGTGTAGCACAAGTTGCGGCAAAACATTTATAACCTTACATTTTCCAGTAGTAGTAGTATGCGAGCGAATTTCGAGAATTTATAATACTAAAGTTTAAATTCAAAAACCTCAACTTATATTTTCTAATTATTTATGTAAATTGCCAATTGCATATTTAACTTTTATTGTTACCTTTACCGTGGTCGTAATAAAATTCTGTGATAAAATTATAAACTTGCGTCAAACCATAGATAAACCGATATTACCGAATAAATTAGACATTAATAATATGAACAAATCGGTTTTACTATGTTTAGTCAACTAGACTAGACACTGCTTACAAAATAAATGTATTTCAGCAAGTTTCATGTTTTAATCCTACGCCATCTACTTATAAAAAGAAAAACTATAACAAACCTAACTTAATAGCCCAAAAATACGTATTTTTAGGTTAATTTCTATAATAAAACCATAAAACGCATATAAAACTATTTCTTGCAAAGAAAGTTTTAAAGTATGACAAACTAGACTTTGATTGAGTGAGAATAAATTGTTAATCAATAATAAAAGCATACTATGCCTTTCCTTAGAGAAATTATAGTTAAAATAAACTAATTGCATCGCATTGCTTTCTGTATAATAGGTATAATCTAATGACATAAAAGCGCACGTTGTTTGTGATTTGGGTCAAACTGAAAATATCGCAGTAATAATTATTTCTGTGAGCGACTGTGATGCGTAGCGAACTTTCCTGCGCCTACGGCGTTCCCACCGAGAGACGTAGTGACCTACCTCAATGCGAAAAGCTTTACGCATGTTTGCCACCTATAGCAACCCCTGCACACTCGCCCTCATTGCGGTAAAGTACTCTTGAGTAATTAAAACCGATAAAAATCAAAAGCATCTCTGAATGTAGATACGAGTATCTACATCAGTGAATTACTGCAATTGCAATTGCAATTAGTAAAGTGCATACATTTTTAATGCGATTCTTAGAAAATTACCAAAGAAGATGTTATCAAATGAAATGAAATGAAATGAATTGAAAAAATGTGTCCTTGTAGCTGTAAATTGCCCAAATTAATAATAATCAACGAGACAAGCAAACAAATTAATCCGCATCTCGAAAAATATGATTCGCACTTTTTTAACGCCGCTGGTTAATGAATTGTTTAATTAAGCAGCGGCGGCGCTGTCAATTTTCATAAAATAAATTCGTATTGCCGATTTGTGTGCGCGTATTGCACATCGCAAATAGTTTGGCGCGGTCAAAGCAAAGCATGTGCAGTGAGCACAGCGAGGAGGCAAGAGGCGGCAGAGGCGCATTTTGGCCGCCGTCGGCGCGCGAAAATCGATACCGGCGCGTCTGGAGCACGACACCACCGCTGCTGGTGCGCCATCGGCTCCTCCAGTCGCCGTTTTCAACTGCTCCCGTTCGGTGGTCACCTTCCGCGCATCCAGCTATCTCTCAGCCACGCTTCCTGCTGTTACCAAGCGCTGACGCACATACACACACACACAGAATACAAACAGACCCACGGAAAAATATCGTCGAAAAAAGCGACAACACTTTACATAATTGATCAACAATTGTAAAACAATTCCATAAATTACCATCGACACGAGAGCGCGTTATTAAATAGTCGTGGCGCAGCGCTCGTTAGAAATTCATTGGGATCTTTGCACCTTCGGCGTGGAAACACTCGGTATCGATTTGCGGAAAGCCGCCGGCTGCCGTTTAGCCAATTAATTATCTCTTCCTAATACCCACGAGCTACCCTCGCAGTCGTCGCCGTCGCTCGGCAGTCGAGTATAAAACAACTCCTACAACGGGGACCCATACGCCAGACGTCCGCCACTTTTACCATCATCACGTGCTATGGAAAATCCATCACGATTTTCTGGTAATGGTAAATACCACAAAGCACAAAACCGGAAACTTAAAACAAAAATTAATTTTTATAAATAAAATTTAAAAAATTTTTAAATTATTTTTATTTTCAGAGTACCTGTTTGCCAAAATGCCCGAAGACAATAACACCGTCAAGATCGAGTTCACCGAACGCTCCGACAAGAAGGAGATGACGGGCGTACGCAAGTGGTTGTCGGAGAACCTCTTGCTGCTCGGCACGCTCTGTGGTGTTGCTGTCGGTGCCATCATCGGTAAGTCTGCAACAAAAAAAAACTTCTCCCGATAAAAGTGAAAATTAATGCGTAGAAAGCAAACTGAGTCAAGTGTCACTTCTCCCTGCTCGGGTCTCAAGCAGTTAATTAGCAATTCATTGCGGATCTGCTCCACTTGCTCGCGCTTTAGATGCAAATCCCGTAAATTGAAATTTTAATAAAATAGACTTATAGGATTTGGCGTCATGTGTCACGCTAGGAAGGAAAACTTAAAAGTTTTCAGCCGTCCTTGAACTTGACCTTTCATCAACTCGCAATATTGTATTGACATAGTCATCAAACAATATCAATAAGAATCGTCATTAGGAAATGGAAAAAACTACGAAAAAAAAAGACAATGTAGTAATGAGTTTTGTCATGAAACTCATGAATAACTCACCCTGGATGTTATTACTCAACCCTTTCGAGCGATAACAATAAATTATCAATATTGCCGTATTGGAAAAATGTTTGCTGAATGTTTCCAATGGATTGTATAAACGATGAATAACGACCCCACACGCAAATAAATGCTATTAATAGTACGACACTTAAATGCCATTCAAAAAGGGTGAAATGCGTCCATGTTGGCGTGGATTTGCCAAAAATTAACATTAGTTCGTAAGGGTCAAGGGCACTGCTGACGTCAGTACCAGTAGGCGCTCGGAAAAATGTATCATCAACCTGTCAAACAGAAAATTCAACAAAAGAAGCAAAATTAGATTTTGACATAACCTAACAAACATTATATCGTCATTATAATATACTTACAATGTTTTTTTTTTTTCTTTAAAAGGATTTGGTTTAAGACCGTGTAAACTTTCGGATGACTCAATCACACTGATATCATACCCCGGTGAACTGTTCATGCGCCTCTTGAAGTTGATCATCCTGCCGTTGATCATCTCCAGCCTGGTGGCAGGTAGCGCAAGCCTCAACGCCAAACTCAACGGCCGTATTGCAGTACGCACGCTTGTCTACTTCCTCTGCACATCCGTGGCGAACGCAATTCTTGGCGTAACACTGGTCACCATCATCCATCCGGGTCATCCTGGTCTCAAGGAAGCATTGGGCGATGGCAATGAAAATCGTGGAGCGACCAGCATGCTCGACAGTCTGCTGGATCTTGGAAGGTAGGTTAACTTTGAACTTTCGTTTCAGGCAACCCACATCACACGCAGTAAGTAATGAAAAACTTGTAACGTAACTAAAAAAAACTTGTGTATCGTTGAAAGATTCAGAAAGGTGAAGGAAACGCTAAACTCGCTAACCGTGTGGCACGCGGCCAGGAATAAATATTCCTGGCGATGTGACGATGGATTTAAATACTTGTATATGTGACTGAATGTGTGAGTGTGTGTGGTTATGTGTGTCGTCAACGCGGAAGTCTTTTTCAATTCGCTCTGAATCGCGCTTTGAAGCATGCTGAAGATGTGTAATTAGGTCAGACCGCTTGTCGCTCTTTCTACATACATTGTTGTTTTCTATTTATTTTTAGAAACATCGTTGCTGATAATATATTTCAAGCGACTTTCCAGCAGGTAGGCATCAACGTACAACATACCATCAGTACATTTATTGAACAAAGAGCAAATTAAACCAAATCAGCAGAATGCAAATGCAAACAAACTTATTTCGAAACATTTATAACCACAAAAAAACTGCGAATGTATGTTGTGTAACCCTGAACAAGAAAATAAAGATTTTGTTTCTTGCAGGCACACACCGCCTACGTGAACACATCAAATGTGGTCTACAATGTCGAAAATGGTACGCATGAAGTTACCGAAACACTTGTACGTCAAATCAACTACAGGTAATATTCTTTTGTTATTCAAACTTAACCCAAAGTGTAATTTTATTGCTTTATTGTAGATCGGGCACTAATACTTTAGGAATCGTGTTCTTTTGCCTTATCTTCGGCACGATTCTCGGTACTCTGGGCGAAAAATCCAAAGTGGTGATTGAGTTCTTCACGGTGACCTTCGAGGTGGTGATGAAATTTGTAACGGGCGTCATGTGGCTCACCCCGTTCGGGATTAGCAGCGTAATTGCGGGGAAAATCCTCGCTGTGAATGACCTCGCGCTGGTAATCTCGAATCTGGCGTGTTTTATTGCCACCGTCGTGCTGGGCGTCCTCATCTATCAGCTAATCTTCATGCAGCTGATCTATTTAGTATTTGTCCGCAAGAATCCGTTCAAATTTTACGTCGGATTGGTGCAGAGCACGTGTACGGCTTTCGCAACGGCCAGCACGGCCGCCGCGCTGCCGATCACATTCAGACTGATGACGGAGAATCTGAAAATCGATACGCGGATTACCAGATTCGTCCTGCCTATCGGATGCAATATTAATATGGATGGTACGGCGCTATTTGTGGCGATTGCGTCCTGTTTCATCGCGCAGATGAATGGAATCACGCTGGGATTCGGCGAACTCGTCACCGTTTGGTGAGTAGGCAACAAGAATGATGAATTCGGATTTATTGCAAGCGAACAGAAGGGTGCCAAAAAATCTAGACAATAATTTGTTAAATGTCGGCTTGGCACTGGCGGCACACGCGCGCGTCCTTTCGACAGGAAGGTGACGCAGGCGGGGCACGTGCGCACAGCTGCTAACAATTAAAATTTTAACGCATTTTTTGCAGTTTTACGTCAACGGCGGCGAGTTTTTCGTCAGCCAGCGTGCCAAGTGCAGCGTTGGTACTTCTTCTCATGGTGCTATCGTCCATTGACACACCTACACAGGATGTGTCTTTATTATTTGCTGTAGACTGGATTGTGTAAGTAAAAACAAAATTTTTCAACATAACCTCACTTTTTAACTATTTTTGTGTATAAAATTATTACAGGGATCGTTTTCGAACCACAAACAATATGCTTGGAGACTGTTACGCCGCGGCTGTGGTAGAAGTGCTGTCGAAGAAGGAGCTGATGGCGGCCGACGCCATTATGCAGGAATCCTCCGAGTACGACGAGCGCAACTCGCTGCCGAACAGCATCAGCAAGGAGCTGGCGCCCGGCGACATTGTGATACGCGACGAGAAGCGCAACGGAACCAGTAAACTCTAGACTTTTTACACCCCACACCCACACACACACACCGAAATGTTTTAATCATTTATTAACATGCGGGTATTTCGTTGGTCAAAAGCCAAACTGAAACACCCTATGCGCAGCTAGGCGTAGATAGCGTGTGTCCTTAGAATGTCGATTGGGTCGCGAATAATAAAAGACACATAATTAACTTTAACGATAAATTATAACCCACAATAAAAATGAAGCCTACATTGTACCAAAACAAAAAAAAAATAACAAAATGTATTCATGTGTACACGTTTACATACATAAATTAATCAATGTGTAATTTGCTCAGTGTAAAACACGCATAGTCAACACGAGGGTGGACTGGCAAAACAATTTGTGAGAGTGTGATATTTGTAACAATGTAAAACGCACGTTGGGAACAAAATTTTTCAAATTTGCGTGTCAATCGCGGGCACATTTTAAGGGTGGAGGCAGCCGAAAGAACTGAATCGTGATCGTATATCAATCTAGTGTAGGCGTAGTATTACCTATACCTTGAAAACAATATCATTGTTACGATAGATGCTCATATTTTATTATAAATGTACTTTTTATCAACATTGGTATCAATTGGAAGCTGATTTGGTTTCGAGATGATGATGGCGTGATGCGATTGATATTGTACACACCCGTATATATTCCAAGGTGAACAATAAACATTGATAACATACTTACCACGAGAATTCAATCAAGCACTTGTGATTTTTAAGTATTTTCAGATAAATTTCGAGCGTTTTTGCGAACTTATTGCAAAATGGCGTTGCCAACTAAATCTAGGGACTTTTTGGGATTAAACTAAGTCAAAACTGACAAATTCCGAGAATACATCATTAAATATATTATGAGGTACTAAGAATTTCGTGGGATTTAAATATTTAAAGCCTTATATGGTGTTAGTATCAAGTTTTACTTCGTATTTTGTGAGTTTCGGTGTAATTTCGAATGGTTGGGGATTTCTAGTGAAAGGGGCTGGTTCAAAACCGAAACCACCCGAAGAATGCCGACTTCCGCGGGAGCGCACAGATTGCAACACATAACCTCGCCGAAGTGTGTTCTTGCCAGTGCATGGCAGCGCTTCAACCAGCAGCGGTCGGCTAACAATTTTGCTCTTCGCGTCAAACGCGCAACGTAAACTCAGCGAATTCCAGCGGTGCGGGCAGTGGCAGTGCACCGGACGACCGCAGGCGTGTGTGGCCGAAATATGCGTCGGGCGTCAACGGACAACCGTGCACCATCAATCGCGCTCGCAGCATAGACATTGCCATCGTAGGCGATTCGCATCGCATCGATGCGTCTGGCGGTCGCTAGACGATAGACACACGCGATTACTCTCGACGGCGCGAGGCGTTCTTTATTTGTTTTTGTGCACGCGCGCAGGATGGCCGGGGTGTTTGACATCGAGCTGCACGACGTCGTGCCCGCCGACGTCGACGACTCCGACGACGACGTGATCGACGGCTACGAGGGCTACGACCAGAATCCGAACGTGAACGAGATTCTCGAGTGAGTGACCTGCAGGTTTGCACAACATTGCAAAAATCAAATATATAAAAAAATGCACAACATTTGATAAGATAACTAAGCAGCATATTAAGTAAGCTTAGCGAAGCAAGGTCATGACGTGTTTTTTCTTGTTGAATTTCTTAGGTCCGATGAGAACCTTGAAACCACAGAGCTCACAGAGCAGATTGTGAATCCTGGCCAGGAGAAAACCAGCCCCATGGACTTTGAATTGCGCAAAGTGCTTGGAAAAGGCGGTTATGGTAAAGTTTTCCAAGTTAGGAAGGTCACTGGCAAGGACAAGGGGACTATCTTTGCCATGAAGGTGCTTAGGAAGGCGTCGATTGTCCGAAATCAGAAGGACACTGCACACACTAAGGCTGAACGAAATATTTTAGAAGAAGTTAAGGTATTGCACCATTCACACAAATATTATGAATGAATTAAACTTATACAATAATATTTACAGCATCCATTTATAGTGGATTTAATTTATGCTTTCCAAACTGGTGGCAAATTGTATTTGATACTTGAGTATCTCAGTGGGGGTGAGCTGTTTATGCATTTGGAAAGAGAAGGCATCTTTTTAGAAGATACGGCATGGTACGTTTTAAAATCTTTTTTAAAAACATCAAGAAATTTATGTTATTTTGTTGTTTAGCTTTTACTTATCAGAAATCATCCTCGCCCTGGAGCATTTACACCTGCAGGGCATCATCTACAGAGACTTGAAGCCTGAGAATATCCTGCTCGACGCGCAGGGCCACGTGAAACTCACCGATTTCGGTCTGTGCAAGGAGCACATTCAGGAAGGCATCGTCACGCACACGTTTTGCGGCACCATTGAGTACATGGCGCCCGAGATACTCACGCGCAGCGGCCATGGCAAAGAGGTGGACTGGTGGTCGCTGGGTGCACTCACTTATGACATGCTCACTGGTGCAGTAAGTATTAAAAACATTTTACGTTAATTTCTTTGAATGTTGTTGTATTTATTTCTGTTTTTTAGCCACCATTCACCGCCGAAAATCGTAAGAAGACTATCGAGAAGATCCTTAAAGGTAAATTAATCCTACCGCCATATTTAACTTCGGACGCACGCGACTTGGTGCGCAAACTGCTCAAACGACAAGTCGGCGCGCGTCTGGGTGCGCAACCACACGACTCTCTGGAAGTGAAGCAACATCAGTTCTTCAAGCATATCAATTGGGATGACGTGCTCAAACGTAAACTTGAACCGCCATTTAAGCCTTGTTTGGTAAGTTTAAATACATAAATCATTCATAACCTAAAAATAATTTTTATTTTAAATAATTTTTCAGACGAGTGAAGATGATGTCTCGCAGTTTGACACGAAATTCACCCGCCAAACACCCGTCGATTCCCCCGATGAGTCGACGCTTAGCGAAAGCGCCAACATGATATTTCAGGGCTTCACCTACATAGCTCCGTCGGTGTTGGAGGACATGTACAAGTCGCAGATTGTCAAATCGCGCTCGCCGCGCAAGAACCACCCGACGCCGCTGCGCCACCATTTTGGTTTGGGGATGGGCGGCGTGATGGGCTCCAGCTTGCAGTATCGCACACATCCGCAGCACCAGCAGGCGCCCACACACCACTACCACCATCCGTCCTACCAGCAGCAGCAGCAGCAGCAACAGCAGCCGGGCGTGGCGCCCTTCCTACCCAATCACCACCTGCATCCGCACGCGCAGGCGCCGCAGCAGGCTGACGAGATGATGGAAGTAAGCTCAGGTCTACCTCACACTTAAAGTTAGTTCAATTTCATTTTGCTACCACAGACACGACTAAACGAAACTAAAACCAAAACAAAAAATCGGACTACGTGTAAATCGTAACAACAGTAAGTTTAGCGGAGAGAAATTTAAATTTCTATATGAATATTATATTATATAAATGAGAAAAGTAACAAAACAAAAAGTAATAATACTAAAGCGCGCATCGCATATAGATATTTATATATTCGACTCTTTTTTCGTCATTCTTTTCTTCTTGGTTAATGATTAGAGGTTAGGTTTGTAGGTGTTTTTTTTTCTTTCTTGTATCACTAACACGGGATTTTCAATAATTTGTGTCACGACGCTGAAACGAAAACAAATCATATGATGGGTTATGACTATAGTAGAGCTGCAGGACGGAATACCAATATATAAAATATAGTAGTTAATATTTTTGTTACCAAATAACGCATACCATATTTGCATGCCGAAGTCGCCATAATTCTACTGTTATCTAATTGTTTAATGATTAACGATTTTGTTTTAATGTTATATACGAAACTATAGCTGAATTTTAGTACACACACACAGACACCGCATGGCTATAAATCCGCAACGGACGCTAACAAAACAAAAAAAAGAAATGAATTTTTCGTGCCTGAATCAATCTCGGGCGCACTTTGACTAGCCTAATTTGATTTTGAAGAGATGAATGGATTTCTACTCAAGGTGCTAATTACGAATCCAACCCTCCAACTCTGTCTATAGGGTGTAGACGAAAACGCCGCCTCGCAAAAACGTTTTTGATTCGGTTTCAATATGCTAGGAGTTTTTTTGGTATGAGTTACCAGTAGCTTAAAATGAAAGTGAAACTACAGTGCAAAAGCAATATTTAATCGAAATGTACAACAACCAATAATTAATTGATCAGTTGGTGTGTGTGAATGCGTGTGGTGTGGCAGGGAGTGATGAGATTTATGATGATGGTTTCTATTTTTTATTTTCTAATTACTAATGTAGATAGTTTTGAGATTTATGTTATAGATAGTTCAATTTTATGTTTATTCGATTGCAAACGATTGCATTCACTGGCAGGCTTGCAGTGCTGTTTATCATAGTTAATAGAACAAATAGATAATTTTTTTTCTCTTCTCGATCGTGTTCTGATCCGCAGGGATGATGACACGGAGAATACGGAGATCACAGAGTTGCTCTGGCTGGTTTTTCTTTTTGTTTTCTTTTTTATGATTTCCATTCGTGTTTTGGACTTTTGATAAAGATTTGATGTTTTTTATTTTGTTGACACTAATTCGAGTGCAATTCGTTTCGTTTTCAAAGACATCTAATCGCTTTTCAACGAAGAATCAGAACACATTATAACTACTAACGCGTAAATGAGTACGTTCTTTTGTAAAATATAAAAGAAATTGTAAGTAACAAGGCAACAAAACGACATTTATATGACCGATATTTTGTAATTATTTAAAAATAATAAAAATGAACTTATGATACTATCGTACACGTGTGAGTGTGTTATTATTGCTTCGGCCTTGCGTCGCCGAACGAGTTTGATATGTACGGCGAATATATATTTGCATACATATGCTAATGTTCATGCAGCAGGACTGCAACACGTCGGAAGGACCTTGAAATAAGTGATAATAACTAATACGTTTGTTATGTCATTATCGATGGCGTAATATTCAAATTTCTGCAGGATTTGATTCATATGTTTTGTTAGTGTATTCCTGCTGACTCAGTGCTGCCAACCTATTTTCAAATGTTTGGTTTGAAATGAATTTACGTATTTTATTTCTATTAATGTACAAATATCGTGTTGTATTCCTTATTTTATTATTTGTGACATGTTATGCTTAATTTGCACATTTGAATCACAACATTTATTTATAAAAATAGAAATAAACTGATTGACTTTTCACACATTCACATCTCACATGCATATTACCATAACCTAAAAGTTACGAAATTAAACACTTGAAACTTTTATTCAAAGAAAATAAATATTAAACGCCAAAAATGATACGATAGATACCTGAAGAATTAACAATGAGCGCTTTGCTAACGCTGCTGCAACCTCGTCATTTATGCTGTCTGTCATATCGTGGTACAAATTTAATATTTAAGGTAATAACTTCTACAAATATCTAACATTTTAATTAAATAACAAATATTTTACCTAATTTTCAGAAACATGTTAAGATTAGTGTCCCTCTGGCAAGCTATGTTAATCAGCCAAAATCACAAGCAACCACCTTAGGTGCTATTGATGAAGAAATCACCAAAGTTAAACCAAAAGTAGTACCTCAATGGAAACCGACACCTTCAACAGACAGACACAGTCTATTCAATGACTACTTAAAGTTGTCTAAAATCAGATTAACAAGTAAATTTTCTTCTAATTTCAACTATTTTTGTGTTTATTGTAATTTTATATTATAGCTTTGGTAGTTGTTACTTCAATGGCTGGTTATGCAGTTGCACCAGCCCCTTTTGAATGGACAACGTTTTTACTTTGTTCAGTAGGCACAGGATTAACATCCTGTGCAGCTAATGCAGTTAATCAGTTCCATGAGGTTCCATTTGATGCACAAATGTCTAGAACAAAGTCAAGAGTTGTAGTTTGTGGTAAACTAACGTAAGATACATAACATAAAATTAACATAAAATGTATATTACAACTAAAAATTTAATTTTTTAAACTTCAGACCTTTACATTCAATGTTATTTGCATTGGGTGCAAGCACAACTGGTCTTGGCTTGCTCTACTTTGGTGTAAATGGCCTCACTGCATCACTGGGTTTAGCCAACTTAATTTTGTACACATGTATCTACACTCCTATGAAGCGGATGAGTATATTGAACACATGGGTTGGTTCTATAGGTAATAATTAATTAATTTCTACTTAAAATTTTGTTTTTTCAACTAAATTTCAATTTTTAGTCGGTGCTATACCTCCTTTAATGGGTTGGGCAGCATGTGCGGACAGTTTAGGTCCTGGCGCGTGGTTAATGGCTGCGTTGTTGTACTCTTGGCAGTTTCCTCATTTCAACGCGTTAAGTTGGAACCTACGGCCTGATTATTCCCGTGCTGGATACCGAATGATGGCGGTAACTGATCCTGCGTTGTGTAGACGTGTTGCTTTGAGGCATACCATCGCATTATTAGGTTTTTCTACTGCTGCGCCTATTATAGGCACAACTAATTGGTGGTTCATGTTGGAAACATTACCATTAAATCTATATTTTATATATTTAGGTAAGTAATCCCAACCAAATTATCTTGATAAACACTTATTTAAAAGAAGTGTATACTTGGTTGCCTATCTAAACACTTCATTTTTGTATTTTTATGTTTAGCGTACAAATTCTACCAGGATTCAACCAGTGCGACATCACGCAAACTATTTCGCTTCTCATTGATTCACCTACCAGCAATAATGATACTCTTCCTGATTAATAAGAAAAAGTGGTACATGTTTGACGACACCGCCGAGAAAGAAACGCAAACTGACGCTGATCAGGAAGCATTAGCCGAATAAGTGTAAAATAATAAATTATATTCTATCTTTATGTCCTCTGTGTGATGATACACCTCTCTAGGGGGTTGCGGAATGTGTGTGCTGGGAGCGGCGCGCGCCGAAAGGATGTTATTGGTCCGTAGGCGGGGTAATCGCGTAATGCGTCCTGCGTCGCGTCGCTCTAATCCCTATAATCTTGCATAATTTCCCCGTTTCGCTCGCAATTCGATTGCGTCGGTTCGATTCGTTTACGGCCGCTCCTTCACCATCCAATCACATTCTTCGCCCGCTAACGAATCAACATGACATTTACTAATTAGAAAAATAAATCTCTGTGTTTTTTTTGTTTTCTGTTTAGAACTTGTGATTATTCCAAAAGCGCCGTGCGCGCCACTCGAAGGGGGTGAATACAACACAATCGCGTGTATTCTGGTGTTGTCACATCCCCTATTGTGCATTTAATGCGAACAATGCGCGCATTGTTGGAAGGTTGAAAAGTCGATTAAAAGCACATCACTTCGTCACACTCGAGACGCGCTGTGCGCGAGTGGGTGGCGGCGGCGAGATCGCAGATAATAAGCGGCGCGGCTGCGTCGCTGTCAGCGGCAACCCTCTTAACGCCGCATATCAGATTTCCCATCGAGATTGACACAACACATTAAACGCTTCTCGCTTACCTACAGGCCTATACAACGGCCACAGCCTTTCAGAGTGGGACGCGAAAAACCCTCGGTGGAAGGGATGCCGGGCGCACACAGAGGGTGCAAACAGCCCGGCGCATATGATTGGTGCGTGCGCTTCGGCGAGAGGGATGCCCGCCATGGGATTACCAATCGAAGAGCAGCAATGCGCAGCTATGCCACTGCCTTTAAAAAGGGCTGACGGGGTGACTGTGGTGAATGAAGAAGGATTGTTCGATGTGTCTGTGTATGTGTGGTATGTTGGTGGAGATGCGTAAAGGTAAAGCTGTTTGGGAATTGGGGAATCATCTCCACAGCCTCACTTCTTTCCCGTGCACCGGAAGACCAAGTACTAGTACTGCACCAGTAACCATACACTAGAAATCAACACGTGTGTTTTGATTTAGAATTAAATTTAAATTTAAAACTTTGAATAATATACGGTGTGATATTACCATTTGTTTGTGATTTGTGTCTCATCGGCAAGCTGGCAAACGTAAAGGTAAAACGCGACGCGGATTTGGAGTGGTGCGTTGGTGTGGAGGACGGCGCCAGCACGGAGCTGCCGGACGACGAGTGCTGCGAGGAGGAAGCCTACGCCAAGATGGTGGCGACTTCCGGAGGTGGTGGCGGTAGCAGTGGTGGCGGCGCCGGGATGCAAGCGGGGCATCATCACCACGTCTTCAATCCGCAGCTCTTCGGGAACATGTTCCTCGGCGACGGCGGGTTTAAGCCGGTTTTCAAATCTAATCGCCAACCGTCGACCACGGCTAATACGGCGACGTCTTTGTTTACGATTGATAGTATTTTGGCTCCGACGCGGCCGAAACTCGCGGTTAATCAACATCATCAGCAGCAGCAACAACAACAACAGCATCAGCGGGTGATGCATCCGCCGACTTTGCATTTGGGACATATTGCTGCGGCGGCGAGTGGGTTCGGAGCGGCTAGTGCTGACTTCTTAGGTAAATATTTGATTGTTTTACTGGTAATTTGCAGAAAAAACCTTAAAAACGACAAATTATTCATTTTAACTTTTAATTGTTGAGTTACCATTATTTTATCCAATTAGAGGAGAAATTTTGCGTTTTTGTTTATTTAATGAAGTAGTTGGTTAAAAACAATGCAGAAGATATTTTTGATAGAAAATTTAAGAATTTCTATGGTTTTTAGTTTTTTTTGGTTAAATTTAACTCAAATCACCATATTCTGAGATTAGGTTATGTTCTTGGTTGTCAATTTCTAGCTATTTATAGAAAACAACACAAAATTTCTAGATTTATTTGTTTTTGAGGTTATAACGACTTTTATTGTCATTGTTTCGCTAATATTCCACTTAAAAATCATAAAAATGACTTTAAAAACTATTATAAATTGATTTTTAACTAACAATAGAAAAGTATTTAAAGAAAAATCTAATGTTGAATTAATCTTAGAATTTATAACCTCAAAAATTAACATTCTAGCGTTTATACTTCCCGAATAAATTAAATCTTCTGTCGGAGCTGTTCAAAGTAAACGGAAACCACCCGAAACACTCAATTTCATTTGCAATTTCACGCCATTTCCCAAAGGTCTTCACCATGCCCCTTATGCTCAATTGAGCGCCACACAACGTTTAACCTAAAAATTACAAAATTTGCCGACATTCACCCGACGCAATTGACCGTAAAACACATTCCCACACCGCTCCTTATTACTTCCTTCAAACTAATACATTACCTACTTACTTACCCACAAATACAACACACCACAAATGCAACCAGATATTTGCATTATTATTTTTTCGCGCGCTGCAATCCGGATTTATTTTTCCGCGCCGAGAGAAGTTAAGAAGCGTGAATATTCACACTTCATCACACATATCGTCTGCCGCAAGCTTCTTTGCATGCATTTCCTCTGCGATGCGTCGGTGTGCGACTTACAGCAATGCCTTCTGTAATCTCTCACCTCTAATAATGCGTCGGGTGGAGCTAAGCTTTCCTCAGAGTGTTCTGTCATCCGAACGCATTCTTACACATCTCGCTTGATTGATTGTGTCGGTCGGCAACGTGCACTTAACCTCACTCGCGACTGAATAATAAATAATCGCTAAATCGATAAGTAAAACTCGCGCACTCAAGAATAACACTTTTTCAAACTCACGGCGCGCAGAAAAAAGTTCGGATCATTTTTTTGTTTCGCCGGTCGGATTTGCCGCCGGCGGGCATCGACAGCGCGAGGGTCGAACGTTGTGGAGTTGCATAAAATAATAATATTATTCTTTAATACCCCGCAGGGAGCCGCAAAAACTGCTGTGCAGTGAATGTTTGCTTTTTGTTTTAAATTATTACTGTGCTTAGGTGCTTAAACATTAAAAACGCCTAAATCCACACCAAAAACCACATTTTTGAGGTTAACTTTTTCTGTTTGATTAATTCCAGCGATGGCTTACCCAGGTTTATACCCAGGTTATGTTCACGCACTGGCAGCAGCATCGCAAGCAGCATCAATGTCGCTAGGTGGCGCTGGCGGCGGTCTGGGAGGTGTGCATCCACAACATCAGCCGCCGAAGCGAAAGCGTCGTCATCGCACGATCTTTAGCGAAGAGCAACTCGAACAACTCGAAGCCACCTTTGAACAAACACACTATCCTGATGTAGTGCTGCGTGAACAGCTCGCGCTCAAGGTGGATCTCAAAGAGGAACGCGTCGAGGTGAGTTTCAATTGCATTCAATATACCTACGATGGCTTCTTATACCTAAATGGTTGATAGATGGCTTCCCACTCAGTCTAATAATGCGACGGTTTACAAATTGATATCTGTGTGATGAATTTAAAGCCGCAAATAGGGAGACGCCGCGAAAATCGATTAAAACGCTCGTTTTTCGCAATTGAATTTCTGTTTATGCAACTGTCGAAGCCTCTCACGCGCGCAGCGCAATTACCCACCGCCGCCGCTCGGAGTTTTATCATTAAATTTTCTCATTTAAAGCGTGTAATCATTAATGAGACGTTCATTATGCGCGCCGCGTTTGTTATGAAACTCGGCTCGGCGCCGCTTGGCAAGATCCGAAATTGTAATTAACTAACGATTCGGAAAATATAATCAAAGTTAAGACGTTCGAGGGCGGCGATGGCGGAAAAGCTTAATGAGCTGCAAAGTGGTCGGCGGGCGTAACTTTATTCTCTTTATTTTGCGCGCCGCGTGTTTTGCTTGCCGATGCGCGCGTTAATAACGCCGCCGCCCTGCCGCCGCCGCCGCCGACGCGAAAAGAAAGGCTTCTTTCTCATAACCGCCCTGCTCAACACCCGGCCAACTTTGCGAATTAATACGAAACAGTCGAGGAACATGCAAATCGACAAGTTTATTAATATTCTGGCGCTGCGAGCGAGAGGCGGCGTGATTACAACGTGCGTTTAAATTAAATTCGTATACTTTTAAGACTTGTGAGTGTAACTAAGGCAGAAATACGGGAGAAATAGATCTGGATTGTTATTATTTTAGGTTTTATATGTTCAAAGAGGTTTTTTTACTTAATTTTTCTTCTTTTTTTAAAGTTTTATGTGTGATATTGTAGAAAATTGATATTATTTAGAAGTTTATTTGATAGAAATGATTATTATCTAAGTTTAGGAGCAAAAATCAGTGCTTTATCATAATTAGTTTTCGAGTTATAACTGATTTAGTTTATTTAATTCGTATTTGTATAAATTTGTGATTTATTTTCACATTTTGCTACTCTGTGACTAAAACTCGTGACTAAAACCCGTGACTAAAATACTTTAGTCACGGCCTTGGCCATTATGTTTAAAATACCACTTTTGTGCCTCAAAACCTTGGAAAAACTTGTAGAAGTAGAAAAATGTTTTTTACATTTTATCAAATTGTGGGTTATTGGTGAGAATTTCAAAATTAATTTAACATGTATTTTATAGTCCTTAACCTCAACTGTAGAACTATACAATAATTTTATCATTATCTTTAATAGTTTCTGAGTTATTGCAATTTTTATAAAAACATTTACTCAAGTCACAATTTTAACAAATTAAGCGTACTTTAAATGTTAATAAAATCTTCTACAATTGTTTTAAAAACTACTTTAACTCATTTTTGATATTATAAACATCTAAACAATAAAACTCTTAAATTTAACGTCTTTAACCCCAAAACTTTAAGCGTTAAACACATGAAAAATAAATTAATTTACGATTTTCCTTCCGCGATTGTAACTGTGTGTTATTCAAGAGTCCGCAATCCACGTCTGCGTCTCCAACTGCCGACTGGCAGTTAATTAGACTGAATTTTTGATCCATTTGAAACAATGGCGTGTTGTGAGACTAAACAAAATTAGCCCTCCCCATTGTTGATACGCGGTAATAGAATAATCTGGGCGCGCGCACGCTGCCACTGCCGGGGTTCCGGACGCGACCGTAATGTATACATTACTATTCGTTCACCACCACCACACCGCAGCCGCCGCCGCCGCCGCCGCCGCCGCCGCCGCCGAATCGAACCTCCCTTAATACAAATTCGGAACAATCGGGCGCGGGCGGTGCGCGCATGCTGTGTCAACAACTCGGCGATGTTTTGTTAAAATGTGTGCTCATTGTGGTGCGTGTGTAGCCCTATATCAGCTCGCATAAAACAAGAGCGAACTGAAAACGCACCCCCTAACCTCACTTTCAACATTCATACATTTTTAATCATCCGAAAACGGAAACTGCGTGCGATTCACATTCAGATTTACAGTTTGTTTTTAAGTTTAAACGAAAAAGACATGAATTCAACATTCCGACTCATTAATAACGCAAGTTAATCAAATAATAGAATAATAGGATACACGAAGTGTATTTGCACGATGTGTGTAAACACTGAAGACATTCCGCCGACGTCTTGCTTTGTTATCCCGGCGCATCGCGCACTTTTCCCGCGAAGTTTGTTTAGCTTTCCGAATAAAACGACGGCAATCGAATGAATGAATAAACGAGCGTGAATCTGGGTTCTCACGCGCGCCACGGCCGGAAAAGCGAGCGAATCGAGTCGCCCGCAATATAAATAGAGGCAAAGCAGGCAAAGCAGTTTAGTTAGTTTAGCAAATGGAGCGTGTGTTTTGACAGTCCGTCTTTCTCCGCGGAGTGAGCTCCGCTCCGCAACGTAGGCAACCATTCATACAGTCATGCATACTGGGAAAGGGAAAGATTGAAGATATTTTTACAATTGACAGCCAATTTACATAATATTCGTATTGCTGCTTTGGCTGATGGTGGAAATATCGTTTGGATTGGTTGTGTAATACACCGTTTGATCGTTGATTTGCGCACGCACAGGTGGATGGAGATAATTGTGCGATTTCGATCCGGCGCACTGCACCCGCGTCGGCTTTCGTTCGGCTTTTCGGGGGGAGGCGCGCTCGTTATTATTGCTTTATTGTCTTGTCGCGTTTATTGCGCGCACAAAGCGCACGCCGGCGAACATCAAAACGCATCAAACGCGAGGCGAAGGCAGCGCCGTGCGTTTGACGTCCAACGATGCGACTAATTGGTATTATTTATTAACTGCGTAACAATCGGACTGAAAAGTAAGTTACCTTTGCCGCCTACGCTGAATATTATGTGTAATAATTTTATACTAGTCTCAAAATAGACGGAAAATAGTTTTATAATGTGGAAAATAATATTTTTACGCATTTAGGTTAAGTTGTTTTTTGTTTCGGGTGTTTAAAAGTGTTATTTTACACTTTTAAGTTTATTTTATTGAAATATTGTAAATTCTGGTGTGTAAAGTAATTATTTTACACAGCACTGCTTAAAAATGAAATTATTTGAAAACGGAATAGATTCGTCATCTCAACTCCTCAACGCATTGTCGCATAAAAGTATTTCGGTGTAATTTGCGGCCGTCGAGTGTTGTCGTAATAGATTTTCGTGGGTTTAGCCGCGGCGATAGTTTCTAATGCACGGCGACAATGTTTTCTTTAGGCATCGTTGCCTCTCATCCCTTATTATATCAACCCCTCGCGCTAGGGCTTCGCGCGCGCCTGTATACACTGTGTTCCGGCGCGAGAAAGCGCTAGAAAAACAATCCGTACTTAGGATAATAACATAATTGAACTCAAGCCGCGCCGCCGGGGCCAGTCGCACCCCTAACTATATGCATATTAGATAAATACGCCTTTGCCTGCCTACAAAAAAAATCCTCACGAAAAACGCAATAAAAAGCGAAAAGAAACGCGTCTCACATGTGTGTCATATTATGTGAAGCTGGGCTTGATATGAATTCGAGGCGGATTCGTGAAAGTACAATGTGGAATTTTTGAGCTGAATCTAAATGTAATATGCGAGATTTATCCGAGCGCACTCGCACACATGAGAGATGTCCCGGCGAAATTCCAGGATAAGTGGCGTGCGCTTCAATTTCAGCAGCGAGCGATGAGAAAAATATGAAAATTCTGAAACAAAATTGCTTTCACTCGGATTGAATCATGTTATTCAATAATACAGACCAAGTCTGCATGTTTTTTTTGTGTCTCCATCAAAAACAAAATGGCGGCTAGTGAAATAAAAAAAAAACATTTTTAGGTTTTGTATAGGGCTTCACACGAGACGAGACTGGACGATACTATCAAAGGTATCGTCTCGGTCTCGGTATCGTCTCGCAAAAGCGATACGAGACCGAGACGATACGAGAAAAGTCTCGGTATCGTGTGAAGCTTTAAGCAGAACTCAGTTAGATCTTTGCAGTTCAAAAGTTTAGTCATTTAATTGCTAATTGCATGTATTGTAAAGTAAATCCAAAATACATACATAGTTTAAAATATTAATTTTTAATTGCATCACTTTTAATTGAAAATATATTTTTTAATGTTTCAAATTTTTAAACGTTAATGTATACTAGGGTACAATAATCGAGTTGATTTGTGTTGAAAGTAAGCGGCGCACGTCTACAATTCCTAACTTACCCAGATGTATACAATATCTTTGCTTCAAGAAGTACAGAAAAACACAAAAATATGTCTCCGGATGTGTAAACAAAGACAAAATTTTCATAAAACTTCCAAAAAGTCAAAAAGGTAATGATATTCGGTTAGTGACTTGTTATTTTAAATATACAAAAGAAATATTTCACAGATGGTCATATATTGGATTTCATGTATTGGACCTTTTCCCATTTTTCTAATAACAACTTCATAAAAAAAAGTAACGAGACCAATATCGAGACCAAAAACGAGACTCGGACTGTGGTATCGGTATCGCCGAGAAATTGATAAAACACGTCTCGTCTCGGTATCGTCTCGCTTTTCCGAGACGAGACCGAGACGATACGAGAAAAGTCTCGGTATCGCGTGAAGCCCTAGTTTTGTATTTAAAAGGTGATTTAGTTGAGTTTAAGTTAAAGTTTTTCATCGTCTTTGGCGGTAGTATTAATAATGCAATAGATCCGATTGGATTTTGGCTTTGGCGGTCTATCGATTTGTATAGGTTAGGTTTTAAGTGCTATTTGACTTGGGCGCTCACACATGAAATTGAAACTTTTTGTCGGCGACTTTTCTTCTTTTCTTCTTTTGCGCGCCGTGGACTGTAGGAATTAAAAATCTAACTTTTGAGTTTTTAGTAGATTAACTAGTGGTTTATCTATGAGCGGTGTTGCTTTGAATGGTACCTATTTAGTTAAGCTATACTTAGGTTAACTTAAGTGTGATTGCATTATTCGCCCGAGTGGACTGCAAATTACTTACACGGGATTAGGAGGCGGCTGTTATCGCAGTCAAAGGCTTCCGAAAGGCAAAAATTTCAATAGAAGTGAAAAATTATTATAAAATATTAATTTTTTTAAATTTTTGAATGAATAATAATATGTAGGAAGTTTATCTGTAGCTATTTTAATAGTTTCTGTTGTTATCTGCCAGTAAACACAAAAAATATTCGAATATTTTTGATAATTTTGGAGTTAAGATCAATTTTATTACCTTTTATGCAATTTTATGCAACTTTATGTACGCTAAATGTAAAAAACGGGAGTTTTTATAATAATTTTGGAAAATTTTATTTTTGTTACAACTTTAATGAATTTTTTCTACTTTCATCTTTAAAATATAAGTTTTTCCACGGTTTTGAGACACAAAAAATGGTATTTTGAACACGGACGCCCAAAGCCGTGGCTAAAGTACTTTAGTCACGGGCTTTAGTCACGCTTGCTACATTTAATCTAAAAAAATCTAAAATTTAAAACAAAAGAAGAATTTCTACCCATTTTTGTAATAACTTTATGAAATTTTATTTTTATTAATACTTTAATCAAATGAATTTTAAACTAATTCATTTTTTAACACTTGCAACAAAATTTTTCAATGTTTTTGATTATAAAACTGCATTATTTCTTTAAATATGTCGGCGTATGGAATGCGAATTGTTCACTTTATGCACATTGGCATTTTCCATGCGCTTTGGACATGAGGGGCGCTTGTGCACGCACACGCAAGGGTGAAAACACCCGCAGGCCGCTAATTAACAATTAATTAAAAGCGCTGCGCCGTGTTTAATGCGTACATTCGTTAGCCGGTCGTCGTCGTCGACGGCGGCGGCAGTGGCGGTGGAGGCGGCTGCGGAGGCGGCGCGCAGGGGTGGCGCGCTCGTTGTGTTCGCCTTTTCACCCCTTTCGCGCACGCATTCAATTCGGCACACAACGCGCAACAAAACACACAATAAATTCTCGGCCGCCCGCAAACGTGTAACGCGCTTTTGTTTCAATCGCCAAAGCGAATCACCGCCGGAGAAGAAAACGAGGAGTTTTCACATTGGAAAAAAAGCCTTTTCAATCGCCATTCAAAGAAAAATTACGTTTTTTGCGAATTTTATTTTGTTCGAAACAAAGAAGACGGTTTAAAAATTAAATACGCAAAGTGGAACATGGAAAAAAAGTATGAAAAAAACCTTTAGGGCTGGAAAAGTAAAAAAAAGTTATTAACTGTTACAGTAATAATTAATTTTCAAAAATATAAAGTTATTAAGCCATTATTAAAGTAAAGAAAAAGGCAAATTTAAGAAAATTAAAATAATTTTGAGGTTAAGTTTACTGAAATTTTCAGTCTGAAAACGCAAAAAATTAAATATTTTGTATCTAGTGCTTAAAATTTCACTTTGGAGGCTTTTAATTGATTTCAAATTTTTTTAAAAATTAGGAATAGGCTTTCTTTTGTCTTATTTTGCAATTTTTAAAGTTTTGGCGCTAAAAAGTATAAAATTAAACATTAAAACGACGAAATTAAGTTATACAACTTGTAGTATAGCCACTTTTCACACTAGTGCGCAAAATTTGTACTTTACACACAGTAAAACTTCATAAAATTACAGAAAAACTAAATTTTTTGGATTAAAACTTGAAATATTTCAATATTAATATTATTTCATTACCATCAAACAAAAACTTTACGTTGAGTTATAGTCACGTGAAAAAGTAACCTCAAAGTTCACATAGTCAACATCCAGATAAAAATACCGTTTTAGGTGTAAACATTAGTTTTAAAAGCGGCGATTAATCAAAATAATGATTTTAATGACATTAGCAGTTAAAATTTGCTTTTAGTTTTTATAAAAATCGAAAACTATTAAAGAATCTTTGTATTTTGTTTACAGGTGTGGTTTAAAAATAGAAGAGCAAAGTGGCGTAAACAGAAACGTGAGGAACAAGAGCGCATGCGCAAGATGGCCGACGAAGACGTATGCCGCGCTGGTGGCGCCACTGGCGATCATCAACTTAATCTTAGTGTTGGCAGCGGTGGACACTCACTACAACCACCGCCAACGTCGAGTTTCAGCGAGGATGATTCCTCTGACCTTGAAGTAGCCTAAATACTATTGTCAAACAAATTCTGATTTCTAGTCATCTGTGAATATCATACTTATCACAACTTACCACAAATCAACCACCAACAATCCAAACAAAAAAAAGTATAAAATAGTGTTTGTGAAATAACTATAGATACTTAGGTACCAACACAACACACAACGTTATTTACTCGTTTATGTACTGTATAAAAGTGTAAATATTAGTAGATATGATAGATATAATAGTGATATGGAAATATGTAATGTAATTAACAGCGTAGTGGATGTTATGTTATATATAAGTTATGAAATGTTGTTCTTCTCACACCTTGTACATATTAGTAATGCGGGACGAATTCAATGTGACTATGTGACATATTTAGATTGTAAGTAGGACGTTTTTCGATGATTATGTGTTATTCGGTAGACAGTGGCACGAAGGCAATTTTAGACTAAATGTAAAGGAAAAGTCATGAAAATACAATAAAAAACGTTTAAACATATATTTACATCTGATTTTTATTCAACATTGTTGTTTATTTTGATTTTGCAGGAATAAGAGGAAGTAGAATGTGATAGAAGTTGCCTATATGTAATTTTCAGTAAGCAAAGTGGTCAAGAAGTCAACGTTGCAAGAGCTGGTTGTATTTTTGGTTAAAAAAGTAGTATTAAACGTGGAAAGTGCGTGGTAATCATCCAACAATCATAGAAACACAGAAATCTTTCATATTTTGTCTTCAGATGGTGTTAATAAGTGAATTTCAATTGTTTGTACGTCATGATAACCTGAAAATACAATAACTGTTGATTCACCAAGCAGGTGAGTGAAAAATTGCAGTTTTCTACTATTTTACTAAAGATTTCATCAGTTTTCAAGACCAAATATGATTAATAAGCTTAATAATCGATCAAATCAAGTGTTTAACAATGAGATTACGCTATTTTAATGCATTTCAAGACGATAAAACAAAAAATTACGTAGCTCAATTTATAATTTCTCGTGAATCATATGATTGTACAATATATTGTTCAGCATATTGTACCGTCACTTAATCTTCACCTAACATAACCTAACTTTTTGTAAATCAAAACCAAATTTAGAAAATTAAACGTTTTTATATTCCCTGCGCACTTTTATCATGTTTATTATACCTGGAATATTCAACCGGAGTACAAAAGAGTTAAATGTATCAAATAGTCGGTAGCACATTAAAATTAATTAATCAAATCGATTCAGTGATTTGGAATATTTCGCTTGTTTCCACCCGACTGATTGAAACTCGACGCCGCGCGCTGATTTGCACTTTTTAATTATTCGCACTTTTCCACACGGCGCTCGCAAATTAATTTTTAAGCACAAATCAACAATAAATACACAAATGATATCGCATTCATTAAGAGATTAAAAAATATCATTTAACAAGCGTGTGATTAAAAAGAAATTACGAAATAATTTCTCTCAATAATAATTTGTTGCATAGATGCATAAATTTACCGAAAAAAATCAGCAACAATAATAATGTTTGTTTGTCCTGGAAATATTTCCAAACAAACCCGCACATATCGAAACAGTTTTCGATACGGCGGCGACGATTTGGATATTTTCGATGCGTTTATTGTCGTATTGTGTGGGTGTTTTTACTGTTTGCACTATTTGCGCAACGCGCAATGTTTAGTTTAGTAGTTTCCGCTTTATTTTGTGTATTTTCCGTATTGCGCAGCTGCTTTTGTTTATTCGTTGCGCGTTTCGTCCGCAAATTGCAACCAACAATAAAATGTTTTATTTGGTAATTGCGATTGGTAAATACATCGATACTGAATAATGCCCGCACATTAAAAAATAACATCATCGGCGTCGTTCTTTTCCGAATCGCGCCCCTGAGGGGTGTTTGCGATGCTTGTTTGGGGGTTGCCAAGCGTTTTATGCGAGCTAATAGAGTCACCGGCGTCAATCACGCTGATGAAACGCTGCGCGCAGGGCAGTGGCGGAGGGTGCGAAATGTCTAAAGAGGTCGGTGCGCGCCGCCGTGGGGGGTGCAGCACGACATAATTGAGTTGATATCAATGTCACTCGCACCCATTTTCAACATCACCACGTCGATAATCATCTTTGACTGCGGAGTGCATTAAAAACACATCATTGTTGAGCGGCTAGGGCGGATTGGGCCAAGGGCACGCCGTATTAGGTAAATTATTTGCCACACGTCGTATTTATTACGTGCTTAAGATTTATCACACTTCAGAAACACTCTTTATGAATTAATTAACTTTTCATAACATATTCGTATAATATAGGCAACTTTATTTACAGTAAATTGAGAAACATGTGATGTACACAATGTTGTCGTGTTGTAAGTGTAGTGACAGCGTTACCTGAGACAGCAGAATTAAAGTCGAAGTGTCGCTGATGTCAAATTCAACATAACCTTCGCAGAAAAATGTTTTTCTTGTTAAAATTTTATGTTCTTGAGTATTTTTGTTGTTTAAAGGTTGAATAAATACTCGGTGGCGAAACAAATTCAGCAAATAATACATTTCTATAATCGGTAAGTCGTTTTTGTATTAATATAACATAATACTAGAAATTTTATTTTATTTGCATAACTAGGCAATTTTATATACAGCTTACAAACAAATATTCAAACCAACGTAGTTATCTTTCTGACAGAAACAAATGTCATTCTAATATGACATTAGTGAGAGTGCAAGTCACAACTTTTCATTCCAACGTGATTCCAACCCTAAAACAGTGAATAATAATACAATGAGCGTGAGTGTATCATGTTCGAGTGCATCCGGAAGCGAATCGGTGAGATAATTAAAGCAAAATTTAAAAATCACATTACAATATTAGCTTACAAAGTGGCGTGACACAGATGGACACACACGAGAGGCTCCCTTGTGTACACTTCGTATGCATACAGCATGTCCATTAATATAACGGAAACGAAACGTTCCTGTAACACGATCTCCACATCCCCGGCCGCAGAAAAAAACCCAACCGAACAAATAGTTGGAAATTTGTTACGAATTGACCAAACGTATGTGCAGCACTTTTTTCTCAATTGTGATCACGTTGATTATCCCACGGTCAGCGTATTTACCTATTAAATAATAAGATCACGTACGCCCGCAAAGGGTGCACCCTCCTGCAGCGCGTTTGTCTAATTACCTTCCTGTTTGCGTTTCTCATGCGGGAGTAATTATTTCACATTAGATCAACATCAACAACAGCAGCCAGTAGTAGGTTTGCAGCCAGTACACTTAACTTGAATCAACGCCAAAGTTAATTCCGCGATGGAAACATTATTACGGCATTACGAAATGTGCCAGCGATATAATTAATTTTGCATCGGTGTGTGGATGTTTTAGCTAATCATAAATCAACATAATTAGCAGAACAACATACAAAATGGGTAATGACTAAAGCATATTTCATCATAACGTGATTACCTAGCCGGCAGCGCAGTGGATGCAAACGCTGCACACGCTTTGTTTGCATTGAGGTGCAATTGTCCAAAAAAAGGATTATCGCTCAAAACGTACCGACAGCGGCCACACACGCTGAAAACTCGTTTTAAGATGATTTCAAACGAAATAAAAAATTGATCATTCAAGTAGGCCCTTAACAGAGCACGAGGACGACAACAATCCAAAACGTAAAAGAGCAAATAATCTTTTACTTTACAACTCCAGAAATTGAAAAGAACACAACGATGACAATTCGTTTCTTTTCTGTCTCTGTGTGTCACCAGTGTTTGTTTTTAACCTTTTTATATCTCGCTTAGAAGCTTAACTATTATATAAAAGTAGGTATAACTAGCAAAGATGTATCGTATCGACTTGATGATGACAATGTTTTGTCGTTTTTTTATTCTGTTCTGCTGTAGAATGTGGTCGCGGCGCAAACATTTTTCGTCAGCTGCTGCTGTGCTGTGCGCCGAGGGGTTACTCGATTGTTTGCAGAAGCCACGAATGAGCAAACTCGATGTCATGCGTCCGTGAAAATTCAAGTGTACTTCATCTCGCGCGCCCTCCGCACGAGCAAACGACAAAAACGACGAAATACAACCAAATACAAGCATGCTATGACAATGGGTCTTTTGGTTTGCTTGTAGGGATGACAATTGACAGTAAATGATAAAAAATATTAGCAGGTAATTTTCGAGCGTATTTATTTGCGCTTCGTCCGCAATTAGTCGTCAAGACGGCGTGAAATGCTCGTCGTCTGCGCAAACACTATCCACGTTGTGCAAATAGGCACAGGGTTGGTAAAAACGTATCTGGTAGCCTAAAAATTTGCCATTCAAGGGGCAGCTATGCTAATATTTATTGAGAAATGACAAATTAATGTTTTTTCCTTGTAAAAATTTCGTAAAATGGTATTTTGGTACCAAATTTAGGAAGGAAGGTAATTTTTGCATATTTTTAAAGTAAAAAATAGGACAAGATAGAATTTTATTATTGAAATTTTGTTGAAAAGTCACTTCTAAGAAAATGGCATCAAAAACATAATTTTTACTGATTATATCATAAAAATTACAAAAGATGGCTAAGATTACAATTTTGGCAATAGAATTTTGTTGTTAATTTGTCATTTTAAAGAAAAATTAACATAAAATATTTATTTTTGAAGCAAAAACAGAAGAAATATGAACTGACATTTTCAACAAATCTTATTACTTATGATTTAGTAATAAACTTTATATTTTACAGTCAATTTGTTTAGTAATCTTGTTTGTAGTTAAAGAATCGGGATGTAAAACTAAGAAAAAATAATTTATTACGTAAATTTGATGAATTTTAACATAATTCTAACAAATAACAGTTTTTCAACAAGTTTTTCTTCATTAAAAAATCATTAAATCATGTTTTACTAATAATTTAATCTATTTTACACACGATTTCAAAAAGATTTCAAATTTTCTAAACGATTTAATTCCAATTGCAGCGCATTTTCGTGTGAGGTCCGATAAAATAAGAAAAGCCCCGTTCTGCACACCCCTGTTAAACCTCACACAGGTAGATATAGGTATACACGTTGTTAGCGTGCCAGCGCATTTGTTGTGCTGTCAACAAACAGCGGATTAGCAATTGTGCAGTTAAACTGTTTGTAATTGATAGGATATGGATACGCGTTTGTCCTGGTCGTTGTGCGCCAAAGGGCGAACGTTCCCGCATTGTGCGCGTCTTAATATTCCTCCATTGAAATATCGAGCATTTCTCGAAAATTATTAAACCCATAGCTTACCAGCTTATGAAATATGTCTTAAATACGCCTCTGGTGTCCATTGCACAGCGCTAAAGTTTATGAAAATAAATATACGTTGTGTTGTACTGGATGGTGGATGTAGGATGTGCATTTTGTTCAATTGTTCAGCGCCATTGTGAGCGGGAGAATAATGCGGCCGATAATTGGAAAACTCCCGAGTTGCAACGCGTACAATATGCATGTCCATTTTCACTATTTCGCCACACATCACACTATTTGTCGATTTGTCGTAGGTTGCCGGGGACAAAGCGCTCGCAAAATGTGCACACGGTCAAAATATCAAAATATTTTTATTTGCGCGCACGTCAAACTCAAACCCTTCCATCACCAACAATATAAATACAATTTCCTTCAATATTCAACAGGAAATAAATTTACTCTCGCATATGTAGATAAAAAGAAATGCGTGTAATCAAGAGCAGATGAGGAGGGTTTATTAGATCGACTCGAAGCGCTTAGCAACTGATATGGAAAGCCTTCAAGCTCTTTAACCGAATGCGCTCCTATACGTTTTCGATCGGTGCACAATCACCCAGTGAAACCCATCAGTTGAATTACTCATCAGAGTTTTCTCTCGCGTTGGAAGCTTAGCGGGTTAATGAAAATGTTGCAGTCGCGCTGCGCGTTGCTTGTGTCCTACTTAGCATATAGAGCTTTGTTGGTGTGTGTGTGTGTGTGTGTGGAAGCGCGCGAAGGCGTCGTCGCGAAGGGTGCGCTAATAAAAATAATGTGTTGCCGGCGGGCGTTGCTTTTGCTTATGCCGGTTACACCTTGGCGGGGCGTATCATTATCGTGAGTACAGCGTAAGCCAAAGCCGACTCGAATTATAACATGTACATTAAATTAGATGCAAAATGCACACTTTTTGGTTACATAAGACTACATATGTGCTGATGAAAGGAAAATAGTTAGTTTTATGTTTTGATAGTAAATAATATTATTTTTTTAGAATTTGTTATATTTTTTGTTTGAATATGACAAGATATGAGTTATATTATAAATTTCGCGTTTATTGAGGGTATTTTTTTGTGTTTTTTGTAGTTCAAGAATTTCAAGAATTTGGCAAAAATTCACCTAAAATGTGAGGCAAAATTTTATTTTCAAGTCTAGGTAGTAAATTTTGCAAAAACTGACATTTCTAAGTCATTATTTTGTATTTAAAGTTAATTTAGCAGAAAATTACGTAGGGGAAGGTAGCCTAAGTTGGACCAGCGCCTAAGTTGGACCACCACGATATCCGCGGACTATTGAAGTTTTTGCAAAAATAGACAGGCCCCTTGTTTTACTCGTATTTATAAACAATTGATTCAACTATTTGAGTTAAAACTTGCCGCGTGCTTTCGTCGTGACATCAACTTTGTGTATTCTTGATTATCAAATCTATTATAACGGCGTAAGTGCATAAGCTGTCAAGCTGTTTAAACGTTAGATTTCACAATTATTATTATATCATCAGAAAGCATATTTATTTATCTATAATTTATAATATTAATTTGGAGAGGGTTTGTTATATTAAGATTGTTGTTGATCATTATATATAAATTCTTCAAGTTGCCCAAGTTGGACCAAAGACAGGCACCGGGGATTTAACAGGGAAAACGTATATCATTTTTTCGGCCTCCTAGAAAAGCTTGTGGACGAGCACAACTCTTCGAAATGATCCAATGTATGAAATGCCGCACTTTGGTTTAAACAAAATGTGCTTGTGTTAGTGCTAAAACTAAAATTTACTATTGTGTCAATTGCCGTTAAAAAAGCATGGTCCAATTTAGGAAACCGCGCGGTCCAATTTAAGAAACCGGTTTCTTAATTTGGACCAAAAACACAATTTTTTAAAATTAAAATTTGAGGGGTGTAAATATAATTTTTACTTAAATCAAAAATATCATTTTGTAGGTAAGCCTTGTGAGTTACTTTTCCGCTACTTAATTTTTATTGACAGTTTATATGTGGCTCTATAAATCAAAAAATATAAAAATGGTCCAAATATGGCTACTTTCCCCTATCTAGAGAAACTATAAATGTCGTTAGAAATTACCTAAATATTAATTGAATTTACAATTAATATTCTAAATTCAGTGTTTTTAATAATAATTTAATTCATGTTATTCACGTGGCAGCAAAGCATTTGCTTTATTTGAGGAATTGTAGCCAATTTTAGGACTTTTCTAATTTCTTTCTTAGAAATTTTTGAGTTTTAATTGTTATTTCGCCATTTAGAACGCGTACAATTGAAACAAATGTAAAATCATAAAAAAATCAGTGGTATAATGCTTATTTTACACCGATTTATTAAAATTTGGGTCAATTTACGAATTTTTCATCATAAAATTTAAAATTTCACAAAAATTTGAACTGAAATTACTAAAAATTGAAAGTATAATATTATTTTAATACGTAAACAATGAAGTTTTCCATATCTACATTGAAAACAATAAAAATCTTAATATTTTTCCTCTAAAAGATATAAAATAAGTATAACTCTGAATTGTGACGTTAGTAGGAGTTTGGCAGAAGATTGGAGTGCATTAGCCGCGTCTCTAGCTGATGGCTAAAACCCGGCTAGGCCGGGTATTATGCAAGCGAAAAGCCGAAAGTGGCAACTCTCGCGCCATGGCGACAAACACCTCTTAATGCTACGATATTATCTCCGGCGGCGACAAGAAACGCATGAAGTGATTAAAATCGCATAAAAACTTAGCACCCGAAAGCCGCGGCCACAATCCCAACCCTTTCCCATTCACTTTATTCACACTCACAAAATTAATATATTCATTTAGAAAAATTATGTCATATATTACATATTATTGTTAATAATGCGTTAATAATGTTGTCGCAGCAGCTTAATATACACAATTCGGGTCGCCATCGTAAATTCGCACCCTATGGTACGTAACAAAGCGTTTTCTCGCTAAATTATGCACTCTCGATGTGCCCGGATATGTCGAAACCGGTAGGCCGGATAATCTACCCTCGTCTGTCACCGTGTCGCGCTCGTTTTAGCGCACATTAGTCGGAATGTTAAACGATTCCCCATATCGCCCCAGTTGGCAGTCGGTACATGTACCTAGTCGTCGGGGTTCCGGATTGACCGATTTAGAGCCAAAGATGGCCGCCATTTTGGCCCCGAATAATAATACCGCATGTAGAGCGGCACAAATGCATGATGCATATGGCGCTCTGGGTACAGACCTAAATTCTTAATCCAAATCCAAATCTACATCCAAATCCGAATTTGAATCCTTAGGTATTGCTGGATATTTTATATTCGGGCCATCGGGCGCGTTTGTTAATCCACGTCAGCTGTCATCGGCTTAAAATAGTTCCAACAACATATTTAAAAAATTGCATATTAAGATATTATGATTAACATTTGGATCATAATCGTGTAATTTTGTAATAAATTTATTTTTCACTTTAAAATTTTAAATTGTGGAGAATTTCTTCTTTTACTTTTAAGAGTTATGAAAAAAATTGCATATTTTGCTAATGCAAATGTATTTTTTATCCGCTTGTAAGAAGAAAGTGCAAATCGTAGTAAAGCACAAATCTCCCAGGACCTGCTATAAAAAATACTAATGCTTACCTAACCACCAGCACACCAGCAGGGTTAGAAGAAGTAAAAAAAAACCCGGCTGGAAATAAGATTTGCGCGTTACGCTTGCATTGCGCCAGAAGTAAAACATTATGCAAACATGCAACTCGACGTTGATGCATCATGCATCGACGCATCGATGATGAAGAGAAAAAATAAAATAATAACAGAATTAAAACCGGGAGCGCGTTTTCCACACGCAGCACTCGCTCTCTCCGGGCGCAATCGCCGCCGGGCGCGCCCCGCAATCAGGGTGGTCGTGGATGAAATGCGATGCGACGGTGCGTAAATGCGTAACGCGTCCGGGGGATTATCTGCGCTCTTCTCTTGCGGCAAACACGCCGATTGTCCGAGCACAACTCGGCACTCTCAGCACACCTCACAGAGGCATTATGCACGCATTTATAATTTCTGGATGTTTGCGAGCAGAGCGAGCGGGCTCGATTTCTCGTCTTATGGTTTTATTTGCGCAGCGCACACACAGTCAACAAGCGACTGAATACTTCGTATAGAATTGAGTCGCATCGGAAAACTCATCCGATCGTGATTTAAAGCGATCAGCGCGTAAACACGTTTAATATTTGCGATTCGTAACGCAATCGTTTGCTGAGTTTTTCTTCTTCTCGGGAGAAAGGAGCCGACAAACGAGTGCCGATTCGTTATGAATGATTTAGAATAAAGATTATACGCAAATAGACATAGTTTATAAAATATTTTCTTTATAAATGTTGCTGAAAACGTTTAGGTATTATGTTTTTACCTTTTACTAGGCTACAAACGATAGGAAAACGTTGAAAAATATTCAAATTTCCACTTTGATCAATTTATTTCCCACAAATGGTTGTTAACTATAGGCAACCCAACATACACATTTTACTTTCCTGCGCTCACGTAACCTCTTTGTTGTCATCGAAAAGTTTCAAGGAAATCAATATTTTCACGCCGCGCACCTGGAGCACCTGTTTACGTTTTCGCGTTTGCTCACACATTCCACGCGAACACGCTGTGATACGCATCAATGGCCTAGAACAAAATAAAATGCCGACAGGAACAGCGCAAATGTAAATATATCCACGTTAATTATTAAATTCAACTAAAATCACACAAAATACTCTCTTCCAGATGTCCCCAAATTATTCCCAAAGCCTGGACATCTACCATGAGAAACAGGTGCGCGAATTGTGCGCCTTGCATGCCCTGAACAATTTGTTTCAAGGCATTAATTTATTCACTAAAGCTGAACTGGATGTGATTTGCCAGACACTCTCACCAGATGTGTGGATAAATCCACATCGATCAGTGCTTGGACTTGGCAATTATGACATTAATGTGATAATGAAAGCATTGCAGGATAGGGATTATTGTGCCATTTGGTTTGATAAGAGAAAGTAAGTGAAAAACATAAATTTAATCAAGAAAAAATGTATTTTTATTAAAATTACAGGGATCCTAACTGTGTCAATCTTAAAAACATTCTTGGTTTTATTTTGAATGTGCCCAGTGATTATAAAATTAGTTTTGTTACTTTACCTTTAAAGAGAAGGCATTGGATTGCCATCAGAAAAATCAATGGGTTTTATTATAACTTGGATTCAAAACTGAATTCTCCTCAAGTTATTGGCAAGGTAAAAACTTTTTAAACTAAATTTTTCTAGGTATTTATTAATTATTAATTAATTTACAGGATAAAGAAGTTTTGGATTATCTGAAGGAAGAAACTGAGTCAAAAGATAAGCAGCTGTTTGTAGTGGTGACTTCAGAGGTGGACAAAAACGAGTCTTGGTTGTTAAACAAAAGTTCATACAGCAATCATGTGCATTTACAAGAGCGGGAAGCCGAGGTATTGGAATTGCGCGATATAATTGCTGAGGACACAAATGTCACCATCAATCCCTTGTGCAATACATGATGAAGTAAATTAAAATTAATTTATTAACATATATAAGCTAACTAACATTGTTAGTAGTGTATATTGTCCTAGTCCTATGTGGTCGCCATGTCATCCGTGCAGTTTTTGTTTGTTAATGTGAAGCGATCGACGTCAATATTGCGCGTTTTCAGGATTTCATAAACTTGCATGCGGGAATGTGCGTCGAGATCCAATTGCCGGCCAAATATCCATATTAAATCTAAAAGTTTATGTTTTTTAGTTAACTAATATTAACAATTATTGTTTTATTATTACCATGATATCCTACACCGAGTAGTGTACTTGTACATGTCCAGATGATGGCGTAGTTGTCATAATCAGTATTGAGTACTTGATAGTAACCGAAACCTGGTAACCATTTGGCGACTGCGTTGGGCCATAAAGATGTCCGCCGATGCAGGAAGAGTGAAGATGCACGCCGTGACACTGTCGCCACACCTTCAACGTTGTTGGTGGCGCCGGTCCTGCATTAATTCAGTGTCGAAAAATAAAAACAAAGCAATCAAAAACGCATCGCATACAATAGGTCATGAATTAACAATTTTTTGCCATGTTGACACCAACAAAAATATTAATCTATTTTACCCAATTTAGATAGACTTACCAGCGATTGAGTATTGTAACCGATACGTTTGTTTGCTTGCGGTTTAATTGTTGCAAGTCGATTGTGGTGCACGTGGAAAGCAACTCCATGAGGTGAAAACTTCGTTCGACTTCATACCAATGTCCGAAGAACTAAAACATTTAAATTAATTTTTATTCACAGGTTTTTATGTTTTTTTGCTAATCTCACTCTTGACATGTTAAAGTCCCTGATGAACGGTTGACGTGGGCAATTTCCTAATCCGATGCTGTTCACTACGCTTAGCATTAAAGGCACTAGAATTATAACAGTCGCGTATTTGTAGTAGAAAGCAGCCATTTTCTTTCGCTTACTGCTAGTTTAATCACAATAATAATTAAAATTTTATTTTATAGTTAAAAAAAGTGTTTTAAAGAGTTTTCAGTGCGTTTTTCTCGTGATGTCGTGTGTCGCACACACAATTGTTGTGCTTATGAATACAAGTACAATGTATTACTGGACTATCACCAACGGACATGATGGTGACATCCATAAATTCATTAAGTTTCCGATTTAAATCGTGGTGTTCGATCGCGCAATTCGATCGCGAGTCGTCACACAAACATTGCCGCGTGCGCCGGCGAACAATAAAGGTGAAATTGGTCACGTTTGTTACGATGTTACGGACGCCTTTCAAATCGTATCTGTTGTTTTTGTTTCGGTTGCATCGGGTATCAGAAGAGACGAAAAAACCGATGCGTACTTGCCGCCGCACGACCGAAATATCAACATTCAGATAGATATAAATAAATTAATAACGAATTAATGTTTAGTAATTGCTTGTTATCGCGCTGCGCGAGTTGCAACATTTACGCGATTAGTGAGAATGCATAATCTATAAGCAAGCCTGCACATCGTCAGCGATTACGGCAATTTGTATATGTTATTGACGTCATTTCTACATGTTAGAGAAAAGCAGTTGCAGATTTATGTTTGAGATAATTCTAAGTGTAAATGAGAACAACACATGCATTTAAATGCTTTGAAACTGCACATTTTAACGGAATAACTATTATTTTTTTTATTTTCTTTTTATAGTTAAGTAAAATTGTGCGTTTTCTTTGGAGTAAGGACTAAATAACATTATGTAACTGAAGATGTTTAAAAATACAAAGAAATAAAGTGGGAGTTCACTTATTTGCCTCAACGGCAAGGAATTTGTCAAATTAACTCACGTTAAACATCTGGTTCTCAACATGTTTATGGGCAGATTGTGTAGGTTCTGTTGAAGTATTGTTTTCTTCATCAGAACGAAAATAGACTCTTGTGGGTTTAATATCCAACTACAATAATAATATTATATAATATATTAATTGCCCCAGCAAACTTTGCATCACTTTAATTATAAATGTTGTCTTAAATTAATTTTAAACTTGGTTTTATTAAATTTTGTTATTAAAATCAAATAAAAAGACTAGTTGATGACTTAAAAACATAATTTGGCGCACTAGTGTCTAAATATGAAATATTATACATCAAAAAGTTAAAGTTTAATTTAAAAGTAGCAAATTTTTCAACTTTTTTGATTAAACTTAAGAAAATTACACGAATAATACTGTGGTTTTACATTCCCACAACCGAATAATGTAAATAATAACTGAAAAAGATAGCTGAGTATATAATTAAGTAATGAAACCTTTACTGTAGGTTTGTTTTAAAAATATAAAGGTGAAATTTAACTGCGTAAATATGAAAATAATGAAAGCGCACATCAGATTAATAAATCATACACTACACAACGAATCGAGCGTTGTGCGTGTGGTGCGTAATCGCAGTGTAATGATCGACTGCTTCCTTTCGTCTCATGAAGAAAAAAAAAACAACGATGAAATCTAGGTCTACCGCCAAACTATGACCAAACTTTTGTTAAATTATTTCCGTACTTTCTTTTTTAATATCAGACTTGACTTAAATCTAGCAGCCAAAATATTGAATGCAAAACAATTCAACATTTTACGCACAAAGTGGAAGTAACATAAGAAAAGAAACTTTTACGGTTAGTTTATAATGACGTGAAATAAGCTAATTGTTCACCGCCACGCATGTTTTGCGCTTCACGCGGCACTTGCTATGCTGAAAATGCTGCCGAGTTCTAAATCAAATTAATTAAGATCAGCGCGGCGCATTCCCATGGCATGGCACTCGGAAGAACAGATGCCGCATTGCAATTTGCGGCGAAAAGCACGCATTGTGAGACGATTATGATGAGATCGCGCTCGGCGCTCACAAGCGACCAATTTGAGCGGAACGCAAACTCAACACAATTCAACTCAACGCGCAATGGTACAGGGTACTGAAAAGATGCTGCGCTCCAGGTGCGCGCGCGAGTTTCTTGTCCCTCGTGTGTGAGAAACGCGCCGAGATTGGCCTTGAGCGTGGGCATTGTGCGTCTCCGGCCACAAACAACAACCAGCTCGGATATCGGATGGCTTAAGTCGGACACAGGACGCGCGACTCACTCAAGTGTCGCGCGCTCGCCGAAGTTTCCTGTTTCTCCATCATTGCGTGTAGTTATCGTCGCGTGAAATATCGATTTCATTGAGTGTGTGGTGCGCGCACACGAATCTCGCCTCCTCGGGAGCACCACGGGTAGTGGAAGAAGAAGTCACGGCCCGCGGATCGCGTACCGCGCGACCGAACGTGAACCATTCGCCGCGGAGCGTCCCACAACGCGCGCTCGCGACCCAGCCGTGATTTTTATTCCTATTCCGTGTGCTTACCGAAGCCGCAAGCCGCCAGGCTCTCACTGTCTTCAACTTGTTCAGTTTATGTTCAGTTCCTCGGCGTTGTTCCAGCGAGATGCTTGCACGTAGCAATGCGCACGACGCTCCAATACCGACGACAATGTGATTTTTTGCAATTGTCGCAATCCAAGACGCGCTAAAGGACATTCGACAAGAAAATGTAGTTGTTACCACTAACAACTCACTCCATTCATCGGTGAGTGCTAGTTTATCGTCAAAACTTACATCTGCGAATAAGTACCAAATAGGTAACGGTCAACTTTTGCATTGTTCGATAACAACGTTTGAAACATTGATTATTGAACAATTCCAACGATTTACGAGCGTAAACTGCGATTGCGCGAATAGAAAACTTCAACCGTATGGCAATCTAAACCAATATACCTACAAAATAACAACAATAATAAGTTTAAATTGTTGATGTTTCAGGATAAAATGGATAAATATTGCATATTCCTATTGATTCTATTTGTTTGCGATGCTGCGCCGGAGGAAGAAACCTCCACAACGCTGGAATCCTTCCATCTCAACTCCGACACGACGCCGTCGTGTGAATTAAAGGAAACCTTCCTCGGCAGTAAGAAAATCTACACGTGCACGAATGTGTCCGGCAGTTACCTGGAGTCCCACTCGCACCACACCAATCGGTCCGAATGGTTCCACTGCTCGCAGTGCACCCTCGCGACGCTCACCGAGCGCACCCTGCACCGCTTCGAACCAAAGAACCGCATCCTGTACCTGAACGTATCCGCGTGTCGCGTCGACGCTATCGCCGACTTTGCTTTCCGTGAAATACCCAATCTCAAACTACTCCTGCTGCGTGACAATAATCTCACGAATCTTACATCTGCGACGTTTCATTCACTGCGCAGATTGTTACAACTTGATTTGTCTCGGAATCAACTTGAAGAGCTTGTGGATGACGCCTTCGTCCACTTGGGAGTGTTGGATATTCTGAATTTGAACTTTAACCAGTTGCGAATGCTGCAGCCGCGCGCGTTCGCCGGCATGAAGGAGTTGAAGTACCTGTACTTGAGTTACAATCGCATTGGGAACGTCCATCCGTACCTGTTCAAGGACCTCATCAACTTGAGGATTCTCTACGTGGAGTACAACCAAATCAAGGAGATAAGTCCGTTGGCGTTCACGAATCTCCAGCGGCTGCAATACTTGTATCTCAATCATAATACGATTGAGTTTTTATCCGAGTACAATTTTAAGGAGTTGGGCGAGTTGGTGGATCTGCAGATGCGTGGTAATGCATTGAACGAGATCTGCACGAGTGCATTCAATGGTCTGCGCAAACTAAAGTTCCTATATCTTGGCGATAATAATATTTCCACGCTGGCGCAGCATTCATTCACCGGTCTTGACTCGTTGACCATTCTAGATCTCACCAACAACTCGCTGAGTAGTTTTTCGTTAGAGTTTCTGGTTGACATGCCGGAACTGCGGGGCTTGTGGTTGGAGAATAATCGGATTGAAGCGTTACCAATCGCGCGCAGCAATAAAACTCACCGCAACTTGGCTAGCTTTGACCTGAAACAAAATCGGTTAGATTATTTCAATTACAAGATGCTGCTGAAGCAGCTCGAGTGTTTGGAGGAGATCTACGTGGGAGAGAATCGCTTTAAGTGTGAGTTTTTCATGCCGATGTATGATTATTTCGAAGAGTCGAATGTCACGCTGTGTTTGGACGCGCGGTGTGATAAGAACAACACCGTTTGGTATACGGAAAAGCTGTGCAGGTTAAGCTATAATGCCCAACCGGATGATAACGCAAATGTTGATGAAGTTTTGAATGGCGGAGATACAACGGGGAGAAGTTTTTACATGCACCTGACGCACCTGATTTATTGTTTAGTTTTTGTACGAGTATTTGTAGGGAAATAAAGCACTTTTCTACCTCCTGAATTCAAACAATTTTAAACATCATTGTACCATCTACCGTGGATTTATTTACAAATAGCCTTAGTAGAAGATCTGTAATATTAATAGTAGATTTTTTACCGACTTGTAGTATAGTTTTACTATGTGTCGATAGATGTCGCAGTGCGCATCCAAACTTTGTTGTTTCTTATGCGCAGCACCCCCGGCTGGCTGCAGAACGCGCACCGCGCACATCAGTCAGCGAACGGCCGCCGCTGCGCTTGTAGCGTCGTGCGTCCTAGCGGGTTGGTGCACTGCAGTGTGTGGAGTGTTGTTGTGTGTGCGTTTTCTATCAAGCATCGCGCGTTTCCGCTGAGATAGCGAGCCAGAAGGACTGCATGCTGCATGTTGTGCGCGGCGTGAGAATATGGCCGTCGGTGGTCGCCAGCAGCAGCGGCCGACGCTCGTCGCCGCATGCCTGGCGTTGTGGTGGTGCTTGGCGATAATACGCACGGATATCGTCGCTGGTGCGTCCGACTCGCGACAAGGTATGTGTACTACTAATAAACACACAACACTATCAAAACAAAATGAACGAGTGTGTTGTGTGGTTAGAGGTGTAACATTTAAAGGCGATTAAAGACTATTAGCTTAGCTTGGCGACAAACCACAAGCGCACAAATCTATCCGTTAACTTAATGTGGAGCACACATACGCATCTACGCCAGCATACAGTTGCTCAGTCGGTGACTCCGGGGAGATTTGCGGCTGAAACGACGACGAGCGCAGACCCGGCGTTTCGTAATTCAGGCACGTAGTTTTTCGGCTTTTTATGCGTTTTTAAATCCGCTCCTCGCTTTAGCTTCGGGGTGCTTTCAATTTAAATTTTAACGAAACGAATTGAAAATCAATCAGCTTTTTCTCGCTCCCAACTTATCAATCTTTTTGATGTTTAATTCGATCAGAATTTATCTTAATCTATAATCCAGCATAAACCGGCATTGAGAGTCGTGAATAAGGGTAAGAGTTGGCCTGACAGGCGACACTTGTGATTAATTAGTTTTATCAATTTAGTTCAACGTACGCCTTAAAACTTTCATCAACTAGTTTATTGATGATAAAAATTGATTTCGTCTCATCAAA